CGATTTATTGGTATTGATTCGGCTACAACGGATCTATTTAGAGAGACAGAGAAAGAGAGAAACAAGCGTGATCTTGTTCCACTTCGTTAATGATTCCTGTCTGAGCACCACTGGGGACTCACTACTTAAGTAGAAACGCGTTCGTGAGTCATATTGTGGATTTAACAAGTAGAGATCAGTAATCTGAAGTTTCCTTAATTATCATCCGACAGATCGAGTATATTTCGTTAACAATGAACATCTCGAAATTGATTGACTTCCTCTGTTTGTTTTGTATTACTGTATTTTCCTCTTCGGTGATGCTCTTCATGCTCCCGCATGAAACAATTAAAGACCCGTATTAATAATCGTTACCTAAAACTTGTCCTACATCAGATACCCACATCTTAATTTAAAATTAAATTTGAGTTTTTTATTTTGGAATCATATAATGTATGCGACATTATATTTGTCATCGCAGTTCAGCTGAAAAAACTCAGAATCTAAATTCAAATCTAAATATATCTCACCTGAGATAAATTTTAAATAACAACTATATAGCTTCTGTATTATTATTAGTTGTTGCTTGAAATCTGTTTCAAGTGAAATTTTCAGATTTGAATTTAAAGTTAGATCAGCATGAATTTTCTAGTTAAATCGCGATTATAAATATTATGTAGCACATATCATATGATTCAAATGAAACTTAGATCTAACTGTAAATTCAGATCCAAGTATTTCACGCGGGGCAAGTTTTAAATAACGTCTATTGATTTTGCTTCTCGCTGTGTTGTTTCTTACACAACGATGTGTGATATAGCACGATTCAAAAATTTTATCAGAGGATTTCCTTCTTTATTATGAGATAAAATTGCTTTGACTGTTTCATGGAGGAATCATCACGATTAATGTTTCGTCGGCACAATCGTAGCGTACACAATCGAGAAAGCGTTTATGGTCACGAGACTATACACGATAGTCATCACACTTGCGCGCTAACTACCGGCGACTTCACAATAACGATATTAATCTCTCTCCTGCCGCTTTGTTCCACACAATGCGCGGCCAGGAGCACTTCTTAAAGACCGCGTCAACGTTAACTTATTACCCACATGGAGTGTCGAAATCGGGTGATAGCGCAAAGTGCACAATCGTGTGCTTTCCAACTCATCTTCTCTCGTCTCTTTATGCAAGAACTTATCTTATAAGTGCGAAATTCACTTCACAATGATACGTGTGCAGCGCGCTCCTCCGATTTCGATAAGCCCGGGCACGTATTCTTTCGGAGGATACAAAAGAGGAGATATGTAAAAAAATCTCCCTCAGCACTTTATAATCGCGCGTTTAAATCTCCTGAAAGGAGCGGATTCACATTCGCAATAATAAAGTGCTAAAATGTACGTGTTTTATGTTTCGTGAGAATAGGTAGATTCCAAAGAAAGAATTAAGTTTTTCCCAAAATAGAGTTTCTCGCGAGAGAAGTGAAAGGAAGTATGCGAAAGGCAGCGTGGGACATTAAGGAAGTGTTTGGGGGGAGAGAAATTTATCTCGTATAAATAAAACGTCCCGTGCTTAGCGTCCCGTGCAAATGACGAAACGTATTAAGGGGTGTAAAGGTGCTCGTACACCGAGATATGCGTACATGTGTAACCCGCGTGCTCGCTTATGTAATCGCATTTTACGCGAATGTACAGCGAGAGTGAAAAAGGATAAAATGTCAAGAAACTCTCTTGATACGAATGAAATACGTTTCGAAACAATCGTTAATCTTTCTCGGTGAGAGGCAACTTGTGTGCACACATTTTTTTTCACTGTGACCCGCGCGCGATACAGCCGACGTAAGCGACCTGGGACCAATTTCATGTGTTTCGAGATAATATCGCGTCAGTAATACTGCACGAGAAATTTTGATATATTTAGGCCGTTACACCTAAGTAGAGTAAGATCAGTTAACAAACGACCAATTAATTTGGAGTTCATAGGCGATGAAAACATTTTCACGGCCTAATTGGTACATTTACGACACGTATAAAGATGCAAAGAAAGAGAGAGAGAGAGAGAGAGAGAGAGAGAGAGAGATCGGTTCTAACGCCTTACGGGTAATTAAAGCAAATCATTTGGTACGTTTTGCGAAATTTCCACCAAAAAGCTTCTTGCATACATTTCGTCGATATTTTATTTCTACCGTATGTGTGTGTATGTGTTTTAATATCATTTTGTATAAGCGTCGATTCCACAAATATTTACCACGAAAAAGTATCCTGTCACTTGAAAAAAGGAATGGAGGACGTCTTGAACGATTTCTCGGCGTCCAAAATTAGCTTAATTAGAGGCGGTACGCGGAGCAAGGCGAAGCGCAACCAATCGAAATAAGGACGCGCACAACTGGAGGATGAGGAGCTGTTCGGCGGCTTCGGAGATGCTTACGAAACGCGGCCACATCGGGGATGACGAAAAAAAGTTCGTTCGGGGTCAACAATTTTTCGGCGCGATACGAATCGCTCGATTCAAGAGATTAACTTGCGCAAGATGGACCGGCCGTCATTCTCATGACAGCTTCAGCACTTAACCCGCCATTTCGCAATAAAGGGCACCCAAAAGGCCGAATCTTAATCGCAATGGAGAATTCCTCGCTAGATATGAAGCTGATCCTTGATTGCTCACGCAACAATCAAAATACCACGAGACGGCTTCTTGTGTCACAAATCGACTCGAGATGCTGTATACCAGATTTCGATGAGACAGGACACTTGTACGATTTTCGACACGCATATATTGTGAAGATTGAAAATCGTAGATAAATTAGATAAAATGATAAAAATATTAAATAAAAAAATTAGATAAAAGATGCTGGATTTGATTTCCAAGTTGGAGCCGCGTTTCTTCGTAGATTTGTTTCCAACGTAAACATTTCAGTTCATTTCAGCGGAGAGAGGAGCAACCTGATGTTAACATCAAGCGAAATAATTACATAAAATATTACCTAAAGAATTGGATGAAAATTAAGTGAATATCGCAGGTAAAGAAGCCAGAGTTAAATAGAATTAAATAATAAACGTTAAAATATATCTCATACAGCACAAATGTTCAAAGTACATCCTAGAGATATCACACATCTATGAGACGTCTCTGGGATATATTTTATATGGGATGCTATGCCTAAGTGTCGTACACTGAGAGAAAAAAAGTCTAAGAAGTAGTAAACGTTTCTTCGATGGATATTAATAACGTATTTACTTATACTAATATAAAATATTTCTCAAGTGAGAAAATATACATTTTCTTAAAATTTTAAGAGAACTTTAGCTTTTCATGAAAGCAGTTGTTTATTTTACTTACATGATAAAATTTAGATTCAAATAAATATATATAATATTAATACCCTCCAAAGAAACATTTACTATTTCTTAGACTTAATTTCTTTTCTTTCAAAGTATATATAATTAACGAGTTATACATATTAAATTATATATTAAATATTCTAACGAGATTATAATCTGGTGCATCGAGAAGTTCACGATTCACGGCAACGGCATTATTGCATTAGACGTGCGTACCGCCCACCTGAGCTCCACGCGTTGTCATACACCTCATAAAAATTACCCACGTGCTATGACGGATGGTAACTCGAGCGGAATCCGTTAGTCACACGTCCTGATGTGTGCGCGGCACACAGCGCGTATAAACTTTCACAAGCTATCATTTACTTATCTCGCTAATGAATCGCGCGGCGAACACATCAGGACGGGGTAACGCGCAAAAGTGTTGATGAATCTCAATAGCGAGTTACTGTCTACTGGTATTGGGACCTTGACTACGCAGATGTTATAAATCAAGAATGATGAAAACGCGAGAGACCAAGACGGCCGGGCTTCTCCTCCAGCCTCTAATTTATAGAGAGAGACGTATCGAGCATCATTTTATGCTGACATTTATGCTGATGTTCTGAGCATTCGTGTAACACGCTAACGAAGAAAATGATTCTGAAATTAGGCTAAAGAGCATTTTGGCCGGACCTATCGTAATTCACGCTCTTCTACATGAACGTTGTCTCTAATTACATACTTTCCTCGCCGGGGGCCTCCCTCTCGGCCATGAAAATAATAATATCATCTACCTTTCTACCTATTATTAACATAATCATAAGAGATATATGTGCTAAAGTGCTTTTTCACTATATAGAAATTGATTACGACGATCGTGTTGATTGCAACTATCGGTCCTGTGAAAATCTTACAGCGCGGTTCCTTTCTAGACTTCCAGATAAGGCGTTTTAAGCGTGAAGGTACTTATATTGAGTATGAACAATCGCACAAGGAATTGTATTTTGAATTTGCTTGTGGAAGCAAAGATCGACAAATTTTCTTTGAGAAGTTCGTCGTTGAAACAAAACATCGGATATTTTGGAATGACCGACCGCATCACGAATGAAGTATTCGTGCTGAGAATCACGATCAGGCGTACGATCAGGCATGTAGTCGCTGCATTTTCAGATCAAAAGATTCGTTGGCCTTAATCTACTTCACCGGGTTACCCAGAACACGATCTCGGAAGTCGAAACAAAGCGGCCCTGGTGAGCAGAGTTGACGAACCGAATGACGCGTCGAAGGATGCTCGCAACTTGCGAACACATTAACCAACAAAAGCTCGTAAATCATTGCTGCAACATCTACTTGCCTCGTGTTCTCGCGTTTTCGTCCAAACCGGGGAAGGTTTCGACAAAGGCAGGGATTTCCCGAGCTCGTATCAGTGATTATGTCATATCTTTGGTAACCCTAACTTAGGCAACTTCCGTAATTTCGCAATTAAAGCGTATTTCCGTAATTAATTCCATATATCCGTAATTAATCTTCGCAATTCCGCAATTAATTCCAGATATCTAGAATTTTTCACATCCACGGTATCTCGCCGATATCGCTGTTGTTTCTGATTACTCCTCGCGTCGACGAATGAAACGTGCGCGACGTATTCGAAACGCTACGATCTCCTCTCAGTGACTAAACGGAAGTTACCGTACTTACTGAAGAAGCGGTCCTTGAGGATGTTGTGGGGTTTCGAAGGAAGGTAGTTCCTTTTCTCCTGGCCTGGCCGCCCGAGTGCAACGAACTCGGACTTACCTAGGGACGAGTTACGGGAGGACTTCGGCGTCGAACGACGTTGACGACGATGACGAAGGCCACAGGTATTCGACGAATAGAACCCAAGGGCCGAGAGTGCGTGGCTGGATCCGACGATTCGGAAATACGGGGAAGGAATGAACTGACGAGCAGTCGCGATGAGCCGGTATATAGTCGGCCCACATTCCCTAGTGGTACGAGTAACCTAAATTTCTCCCACCCGAGCGGGGCATCATCCTCAGGTAGACGCGCCAGGTTCTCCACAGGGATAGAGGCGCCCCACCTGGCCGTTCCATCGTTGTCGTCATCGTCAACGTCGCGATGCGCACGTAGTAAAGCTGTGCCAGCCGTACGGTTTCACACCGTGTTGCTTGCTATTGCCGCTAGTACCGTCCTCCACCTTCGTGTCCTCCTCGCCCTCTCTTTGCCCCCACTTGGCCGAGCGCGATCGACGGTTGTCGTCGTTACGAAAATTCCTTCGTGCCCCGGCGATGATCCTCGAGAACATCGTGACCTGCCGTGTCCCGCGGCGCGAGAGAAAAAAGAAACTAATCGGATGGACGTACGTAAGTGGCGGTCGCCCTCGTTTGAACAAATGTCAAGTTAATCGGGCGAGTCGCAACGAATTCTCGATGCAACGCAGTATTATTGTTGTCGACGCGCTCGCCGACAATTTTCATTATTAGATTCGGCTGATTGCACTGTGCGAAACGGATAGAATTTCTCGACAAAACTGTCGGAGCAATTGTTGAACACTTTTGTTTTTTTTTAAGAATAATTGAAAAATATAATTTTAACCATTCTTTGGACTGTTTTAACTTGTTTTCGAGCTCTTTCGGATACTACTGTATTTTACTTTATCACGGCGATTTGATCGTTGTAAATGTTGGAGCAAATGACTTACGGTCAATTTTGCTGGCGATAAATTCGAAAGGCCATACCTCTGAGAACTAGTTACAGCCGGAACTATGAGGCAGCGTAGTGACTATGCAGCCGACTAGCAGTCGAGTGCCAATGTCGTTTGCCACTTGACAGAACGGTGTCCTCTCACTACTTTTGGATCCTCTCCTCTCACGATCACGCGGGGTAACGTCGATTTCGAAAACCATTTGTCATGCTCGATGACGTTTGCCACGGAAGTATCACCTAAAATTGCCGTGTAATAATCAAGGCGATGTTGCATGTCACTTTTATAACTTACAGACAGAATATTTGAGCCGGAAAGAAAAATTTTCATCTGTGCGATACGTTTATATATACATAAATCAGTGATGCTTTCAACTAATAAAAAATAATTATTTTCAACTGTCGGAGATGATTAATTCAATTCCGCCTTTAATTTAATTGCAATTCTTTGCAGCATTCAATTATCGATATTACGTTACCTGAAGGACATGCCTTAATATATTACTTGTTTGTCTTGATGTGTGATATTATGTAACAAATTGCAGACTTAAATGCTATTCATTATAGTGTGCTACCTTACCACACTGAAGAGATGTATGCCATCCCATACATATCTGGTAAAGGTCTTTCGATAGAAATTGACACGCCGCAAAAGACAATTAATTGGATACAGGGATACACGCTTCGTTACTTCAAATACCTGTGGTTACATTCTCATTTGATTCGAGTCGCAACATACTATCGCGTACTACGTTTATACGCTTCGAATTTTCCAAAGATTAAACGATTTTTGAGTTTGAATAATTTGGAATTTCAATTATCTTGAAGAGTGATCAGCCCGAAGTTTCACATTTTTTAGTAGTACATCGACACCAAGTCAAAAATCGGTTTTTATTTCTTAGTAATAGATGAAGACAAAAATCCATTCGCGCCGCTGTTCCGCCATGTTACCAAAGAATAAAAATAATTTATCTGGCCCGCCAACGGCCTCTATTCATCAATAGACATGGGGTGCGTTCCGTTTCTACGCATATGCGCATGAAACGCAGCGTTAGAGTGACAGAGATACGAGAGTGAGATAAAAAGAGAGGGAGAGCTTTCGGTTGAGGTTGTCGAACCTATGTTAGGTTAGTTCTCGAACGCATGAGATCGCATAGACTGCACTACCTCGGAGCTGATGCAGTTCATGCGTTCGAGAACTAACCTAACCTAGGTTCGAGAACCTCACCCGAGTGCTCTCCCTCTCATTTTATCTTACTTTCGTATTTCTGTCACTCTAACGCTGCGCTTCATGCACATTATGCGTGAAAACGGAACGCACCCATGGTAGCGTCTCGTAGCAGAGACATTAGAACTACACTTTGCAATCACAGGATGCTTACGATAACGAGAGTAGAGCGAGTGAGATCTGGATCCAAGAGAATAGTATAATCTCCCATCTACAACTGTAATATTCTATGGTCTGCTCTTGCTCCTGCTCTTGCAATCTCATGAATATAGGAGCAGATCAGGAATTCGTCTCACGAACAACAAAGGGTGTCCTGGTAGCATATGTTGGTTTTATATACTTTTTATAAATGTATGTAACGTTTTATTATCGTTCGTAAAATATATCAAAAACGTTTCTTAAACATGTTACTTGGATAATGTATCATATTTAAAATGTATTAATATTTTACCTTAAATTTATACTTAAATGTATTTTTCAGCTGAATCAAGATTATATATAATATGTCACGTATTTCATACGGTTCAATTAAAATAAATTAATCAAGCTCTTTGCAATCTTTGATAATTGCAATCTGATCATTTGATGTGAGACAAGTTTCAAGTAATAACTATTAATACAGGTTCAGTTCTTATTTAAGGAAAGTTTGGGAATCTCAAATAATTAATAAACTGAAATAATATGTTACATAATTTTTGAAATGAAGATAAAATATTAATATACTTTAAGTATATTTTATCCTTTGTTGTTCGTGAGACGAACCCCTGGGGCCCGATGCTTGACAATATACGAATGAGATACGCATGCGAACATCTACAGTATACGTAATATGGGGAGCGTCCCGATTGCCTACAGTACGATTGCACACAAACCAACCGATGTTGAGAGTTATCTAAATTACCAGATCGAACTAATCATTACAATTTGTGGTTAATCGTACTGTGGGCAATCGGGATCCTCCACGTAATATGAACTACACATTTTCGCATGCGTATCTCATTCGCATACCGTCAAGAATCGAACTTCTGATCTGCTCCTGTGTTCCTGAGACTTCAAAAGCAGGAGCAAGAGCAGACCATAGAATATTACAGTTAAGCGTCGTCTACAATATACGAAATAAGCTTGAAGTAAGAAGTAAGCCGTAAGAATTGGCCAATCGTAGTCGATTATTATAAAAATAATCGTCTATGATTGGTTAATTCTTACGGCTTACTTCTTACTCCAAGCTTACTCCGCATATTGTAGACGACACTTTATAGATGGGAGATTATACTATTCTCTCGGATCTAGATCTCACTCACTCTACTCTCGTTATCGTAAGCACTCATAGTCGAGTCGCTAATTCGTAAATACAACTAAACGAATTGTCTGGCGTCATGCAGCGGTGTCGGTAAAAAAAGAAATTAATGTCCAACGAGTTTGAATGTCATCTAAATAGGGTTTGAGTCTTAGCTAAGGATTTGATTTGCTATTTTTAAAAGTATATAATTCCAATTATCTCCGCTACAAGTCGCCACCGTTTCCGCCGAAATCGTAGCACAACTCAACATCGAGTTCGAGACTTTAGGTGCTTTCCAGCTATGTACACTGTGTTACACAAAACCAGTTTATTGGTCGCATATTATCTTACAAGATATTTTAGATAATATGTGACCAATAAATTGGTTTTGTGTAACACAGGTAACGTAGCTGGAAAGCACCTTTTATTTTTAAGTAGTACAACTCAACGACAAGTCAGGCAAAATTTACTTTTAAATAACACATTCAACAGCATATCAAAAAACATTTTTATTTTCAAGTTTTACGATTCAACGGCAGGTTAAAGAACCTTTTTAAATAATATATATGGCTAATTGTTAAATAATATATATAGCTAAACAGAGAACAGGTCCAAAAGACTCGCCTTCTCAATACAATTCAACGAGGATCAACAAACTCTACTTTCTTCAATAATACGACCGACAGATTCAATAAACTTTTGTCTCTATTTAGCAACGATAAGCAAAAATTCCGATTTGAGAGCATCACGATCCTTTAATAAAAAGACATCGCACCTCAATTCTTCAGTCAATCATTATCCAATTTTAATTAATTCTAATCCAGGAGTAATCTTCGCGATAGTGTCTTGCGTAGGTAACACGCGCTGTCATTGAAAGTGATCTACTATTATTGAAACACGTGCTCTGTGATCCATCGCGCTTAGATTTTCGCTCGCGAATCTCGTTCAACTTTCGCAACATGTCCCAAGACACGTTTGTGTTTATCGTGTCGAGAATACGTAGCATCCTGTAAGAATCCGCGTAGTGAAATATAATAATTGAGAAGTCGCGCGAAACATACGCAGAAGCGCGAAGATGCAGGAGCAACATGACGCGTGTCAGGGCGAATTTTACACCGCGGCCGCGAAATACTGGGATCGTATTCCGCCCACGGTGGACGGGATGCTGGGCGGTTTTGGATTTGTTTCGCAAACCGACATCAAAGGCTCCATGGTTTTTCTGAGGTCCCTTTTCGAGGTACGCACTGTGACAACTTAGGCTACAACATTTTCGTGAGAAAACCCGTTGTGATGAGCGTGAACTTATACTGCATTGGCAAGGACAGAAGTGTACCAAATTATTGTAACCTGTTTTAGTTAGAAAATGCGCCCGGCAAGACATTTGCCTTAGATTGTGGTGCTGGTATTGGCAGAATCACCAAGAATTTATTGATAAAACACTTCAAACACGTGGATCTTGTTGAACAGAATCCAAAGTTCCTTGAAGTAGCAAAGATTTCTCTGGAAAATCATTCATCAAGGATTGGACAATATTATCCTATTGGTAACAATTGATCTATAAGATTCAAATATACAACACAACAGCGGCACAAATGCATTATTCTTTTAAGGTTTACAAAACTTTTGCCCTACGGCAAGCAAGTATGATGTCATATGGTGTCAGTGGGTGTTAGGACACCTACATGATGAACATTTGATTGAATTTTTTAAGAACTGCATGTGAGTACTAAATCTGCTTTTGTATGAAAGAAAAAACAAAGTATGATATCTCACATTCTCTCTCTCTCTCAATGATTTGAATTTCTAGATTGGGCTTAAAAGATAATGGTATACTTGTGGTAAAGGAAAATATTACTAGCTCGAATAACTTGGAGATTGATACAGAGGACTCCTCTGTAACCAGATCACTGAAGGGCTTGAAATCTTTGTTTGAAAAGGCTGATCTTGTTTGTATCAAGGAGCAACAGCAGACTAAATTTCCCCGCAGTTTATATCCAGTTTATATGTTTGCTCTTAAACCAACAAATCGTTGCAGTGAACTAGTCAACAATGTATAATGTACAAAATTAAGTTATTTTGTTTTCTAATATAGCGTACCCTATAAAAATGAGGTAGATCAATACTTAATTTATTATATAAGAATTAAATTATTTTATTTTTTTAAAATTTGTATTTTTTTATAAAGAACTTACGCGCGCGCGAGATAAAGGCTTCCAAATTATGTAGAATAATTCACAAGAACAAAATTAATACTGTTGCGCTTTGTATGTCTATTGTCTATAATCGCGGCATCTCTGATTAAAATTCACGCTTTCGCGGTTAAATGAGAACACATTCAAAACAAAAAATGTCTAATGAAAGAATATTAATCATAAGTATATCCAAGAAATTAATATGTTCATCCCTTCATATGTTCTTCCCTTTCACGAATAACATGAGCATGGGATACATACAACAAACATACAATGTAATCATGATTAATTGCTTTCACATTTAATTCATTGCGGTTGCAACAATATGAATTCCAAATCGGTTCTTTTTTGATTGTAAAAAGGCTATTTTACATATAATTACACTAAATATACATTAAGTAGTCACCTGCCATAGGATATATTGAGTAAACTTCACGTGTATACGTTCGTATTACTCTTCAAGTAAAGCACTATATAAAAAAGTAGAGATTTATTTTGGCCGTATCTTTTCGTACATAAAACGTTGATTTGCGTCTTGAGGGGAAGCATTTAGAAGTCGTCTTTTCACTGCATGAAAGTGTTCTAGGGCGAAATCATACAGTTCGTTTTCCATCTTCCACACAACCGACTGTTTAATCTTATCCACTGTCTCAGGTAACGGGTTGAGTTTTTGAGTGGTTTGTCGCAAATGTGACTTGTTATCTGAAATTAAAAAAAGCCTCGCTGTCGTATCGTTGGTAGTGCGATTGAAAATTAAGTATCATTATTTTATTGAAATATATAATAAGTCTTTCAGTTTCATAAGCACGCACTTACTATGCAAAAAGAAACCATACGCTCCTTTGAAGAATCGCGGTAATGCATTCTCTAATATCTCCACAAAGTCATTTAACTCTTCTGTTACGCCGACCAAGAAATAATGCCTCTGTAGATTTCGTTTGGCTTCTTCCAATGCCCAGCTATTACCAATTTCCCTGTAATAAAATATAAATAACTCAGTGAATTATCACTGTTGGGAAAACTTTCTGTGATATGCCATATTTGATAAATGAACATTGTGCAATGATTATTACCAGTTAATATTGGTAATAATCATTGCACAATGTTTACTTATCAAATACAGCATATCACCGAAAGTTTGTCCAAAATCGTCTCTTATCTATAACCAAGCATATGAAGAAGAAAAAGAAATTTTACTTGCCAGCAAGCTGGATCATGACCACATAGAAAAGGAATTTGCAGCCACATGTTATTCGGATCACAGTCAGGTTGACCAACATTTATGCACTCATCAAATGTCTAAACATCAACCAAGTAAAGTTAGATAAATGTATTTTGTGCTGTTCTCATAATAAGCACACAAACCTTGGTATCTCCATGTTTTTTCCTTACTAGGTGAGGTCTAAAGTTATCTCCATATCGCAGGAAGTAATAGTAGGATACAAATCTGTCTAAAGGTTTCCTTAATAAATTTATATATAAAGGTGTACGTTTAATACCAAATCTGCAAAATAAAAATGTATTAAATAAAACAAACATTTTCTTCTTGATTTTTCTTAAGGTAACCTTAAGAGAGTCTCACTGTACCTACTTCTCAAAATTTAAAAATGCCATATGTCCATGGTAAAATGCTGGTTTGATAGTATCCCAGTTTGATATGTTATTTGCAAATTGAACCTATATGTAACATTCTCATTAATGATAAAAATCTAATCTATAGTGATTTGAAGAGAAAGTACATGTAGGTGAGATTAAGAAGACTCAGTAATATATTGTACATCTTTTCTACATAAAATGCAATTATATAACTTTACTAAAGTTCATTTTGCAAAGTAATAAAACACAATTTCTTGTATCGTAATAAATCATGATACAGAAAGGCAATTGAGGCAATCAAAAGGTATGAATTTTGCTAAGTATATAACAAACACGGCACCTGATTGCTGAGGGTAAGAGTGTGCATATTATTGGTCACGTTGATGTGCAGCACATGATACTTGTTCTGCTTGCACAAATCGTAAACTAGTCCCACGAAACTAGTGGAGGCAGTCTTCGGCACCCTGTTATATATCACGACGACGTCGTCGAGAATCCCGTTATCGCGCGTTGGTTCCAGGGCGCCGCGCGCCCCATTTCTAACGTCAATTTGCGCCTGCACAACGGCATCATCTGAAAACACGAAAGGATCACTTGCAACGTTATTCCTGCAACGTGGGCGTGCTGGTCGCGAAAACGAAGCTACGTTCTCGTGGTGTTACGCGACGACACGTACGCAATAATCTGTAGCTTTCCTCTAGCTGGCATATCCGTAGCCGCAAGTACACTATCACAACAGTGAAGATCGACGCCAGTACCCATTGGTACGGGAAATTCCTCAGTAGCATTTTACGCGCCGCTTAAACCATAACTGTGACGCGTCGCGCGTCAGCCGGATCGAGCGAACCACGCGCCCGAGCCGACTCCAGAGAACGTCCGCTCTATTTGTCTTCCCTATCTCTCTTATCCGAAATACCAATTCCTCCTCAAAATCCGTGATAATTTGCGTATGTCGTGTCCAGTTGATTTTCAAGTGATTTAAATATTACACCGCGACCAAGGCGTTTGAGCGCGCGTCGCGCATTGACAGTTAAGTTGCATATACACATCCGCGTGTTGCTAGCACTTGACAGCTTCAGAATGATCATTTGCTCGCTATACGATAGAACGAGAGAACACTAGGAGCAATTCAACTTTCTCATTCTGTTTTAAATTGCCAACTGTTAATTTCACTCTGCGGACGGAACGTTTGAGTTGCGTTCATTTTGAACGCTTTCATGCTAAAAGCACCATTCTATCTTCCTTCGGCCACAAATATCTATACTAGATTGCTAACAGGCTATCTAGGGGTGCGTTCAGATTCTTCATCCGGGTGCACTCTCTTATTAGAAACACTATATGTCACATATAGTATATGTCACATATATTATAGCACTTCTAGTAACAGAGTGCACCCAGGTAGGGCTGCGTTCAGATTCCCCACACGGGTGTATTCTATTACTAGAAGTGTTATAGTATATGTAACATATACTATAGTGTTTCTAGTGATAGAGTGCACCCGGATGAGGAATCTGAACGTACCATAGGAGATCTGAAATTTTAAAAGCATGTAAAGGCTCGTCTACAATAGAAGTCGTAGAATCGTAAGTCGTAGAAATTGACCAATCATAGTTGGGCTCAAGAAGAATAATAGACCGTGATTGGTCAATTTCTACGACTTACGACTCTACGACTTCTATTGTAGACGAGCCTTAATGGTTTGTGTTCGATAGAGGCTGCGTTCCGTTATTTACTGCAAGTAATGGCTGTTTACGATAATTCGAGTTGGATTAAGTACGAGTTAGTTTCACTAGGGCCGAGAAATATGATAGGCACAAGCATCTAGTATTTTCAAGATTTATGACAACTCAATGCTGTCCGATAAATCGAGTAGAGTAGAGTAGAGTTAGGGTAGTATAGCGGATAGTATATGTATAAGAATTAACAGTATCAGATAACATAGTTTCGTAAAATATGTAACAATAATATTACAAAACAATTATTTATTATATTTTAGAAAAATTAGAAGCACTAAATTAAATTATGAAAATGATATTAATTTAATGTATTTGTGAAATATTCAATAATAATAGGTTAGAATAATTGTTTTCTACTTTTGGATATTTCACAAATACATGATACCTTTTCATAATTTAATTTAGTGCTTCTAATTTTTCTAAAATGCAACAACTCATTGTTTAGTAATATTATTGTTATATATTTTACGAAACTATGTTACCTGATACTGTTAATTTTTATACATATACTATCCACTATGTTACCCTAACTCTACTCTACTCTACTCTACTCGATTTATCGGACAGCATTGAGTTGTCATGAATCATGAAAATACTAGATGCTTGTGACTATCATATTTTTCAGCCCTAGTGAAACTAATTCGTACTAACTCCAACTCGAATTATCGTAAACACCCACTGTAATTTACTGCAGTACTACCAACAGCATTCCTAAATTACAGTGCACTACGAAAGCACTTCGACGAATTTGTGACATCATGAATTTTGATGGGTGCTTTCCAATTGCAATATCCCTAGATTATTTCATGCACACGGCGACACAAGTTGCATTCCAATTGTCGTAATCGTCGACACAACATTACATCCGTACTCAGCTCGAGAGCTACTAGTCGGCTGTGTAAACTAGTGTTTTCTAGTGATAATTAAAGTTACTAAGCGTAGCGACTTGAAAAAAGACTGGCATTTGCGATGTGAAATAGATAATCTTTTTTAATATTTAGATTTTATTATTTATTATTAAAAAATACCAAAATATAAGCACAGTTGAAAAATAATCCTAATGGTTCCCGCAAGACGCGGTAATGCTTGCCGCGCGGCGGAAGTTCGCGCGACAGCCAATCAATATGCTGCTTTCCGTAATAACCTTCTAGCTCTTACGGAAAAACAACATATTGATTGGTTGTCGCGCGGACTTCCGCCGCGCGGCAAGCATTACCACGTCCTGTCTGTAGGAGCCATAACCCTACCCGACATACGTATACACTTTGTTCCAATTGAATCGTGCACAACGTTACACTTTGTGCATTTCTATGTACATATGTGTCAAGATGTGTTAAGCAATTGGAAAGCACCCATTATGTAGTATAATAAAGTGAGATCTATTGTGATTAATTATGGAGAATATATTATGTGATTTTTATTGACTGTGGCTGTTAATTAAACATATAAACATATAAACATGTTCACATTTATTTACTACAATTATCAAAATATTAACATCTTATTACTTATGATCCTTCCACTCATCATTATTAAACGAAATAATAAAGAATGTCAAAAAAAAAAATATATATATATATTAAATGTATAAGAAGCAAATGAGATATATAAGATATGTTGAGGTTATTCGTGACTATCTTTAAGGCCATCACACACAAAATTACATAGACGCATATGCATAGCATAAGATCGTATGGACCAATGAGCATCGAGTATTTAGTCGCTATTTGATGCTTGATGCTCAATACTTGATGCTCATTGGTCCATACAGCTCATGCTATGCACATGCAGTTATGTCATTTCATGTGTGAGGGTTCTTATCCTTTCCGCAAAATTGCAGCGGTAAGATTATAGCGAAACGGCACAAAAAAAAGCGGAACGGCTGTGATTGGTCGTACTGGTTCCGTGTGTTCTGTTCCGCGGAGAATTTCCGCCCCATGGGACGTCGACCTGAGAATGCCATTACGTGAAGCGCGGAAACGCGGAAGACAACTCTAATAGCACGCAATGTTCAGGGAACGTCCAGTGGATATCCATAGAACATAAAATGTCTTCTGAATGTTTTCTGGATGTTCTCTGGACGTCTTTTGAACATGCGTGCTATTAGGGAAAATCTTACTAGATCCACTACGTGTTCCGTGTCTGTTTTGATTGCCTTATATTACATGAGGCGTATTTTGAGCGGAAAAGCGGTATGGGGAATTATAAAATATTAATTTTTTATGGTATTTATTAATTAAAATGCTTGTATTTAACAGATAAGCTGAAAAGATAAACATATTAGTAAAAATTGCAGTAAATTAAGTTAATACAATTTTAAAAAATGAATACAGATGTTTATTTGTCACCAAATCGTTCCGCTTTTCCGCGCAAATTGTGCTCCATGTAATATAAGGAGAAATAAAGTCGCGGAACAAGCGCGGAAAATTCCATTGTCACAAGTTGTCACAAGTTATCACAAGTTGTTCAACCTAACCGCCGTTACATTAAGACGTGTTCAAACACGTTCAGACCTGATATTTTTTTTGGAATTCATACCTTGGCACTTTGGATGAAAAGACAATAGAGAAAAGTTTTGGGCCTTCCGCTTTTTCAACGTACGGGAAGAAATGATTCAATTCGTGAAACATGGAAATCTACTAAGATTTTGTCTTCCGCGTTTCCACGTTTCCGCGCTTCATGTAATGGCACCTTAATACCGCAAAATCATCGAGATCTCAAGTTTCATTTTCTCCTCTTTATACAGACAGCTCATGGTTGTCCCCGTGGTCTGTCGTTGAAGTTGGTTTGCTGTGGTACGCTTACAACCAAAACTTTTAATTTTGATAGAACGATTTTACGAGAAAAAAGACGTACAATTGAAGATAATCGAGTCATATAATCTTTGGTGATAAAAGGCGTATCTCAAGATGGGTGTCCCGAAATTCTTCAGATATATAAGTGAGAGATATCCTTGCCTTAGTGAGACGATCAAGGAATATCAGGTATATTTGACAGAAAAAAAAATCATAACTCTTGTGCGATGAGAGCTTCTTTCTCGTTCTTGTTTATTTGTCCTCGTGAGAGTTTTTTCGTGCGTATTATTACGTACCAACTATTTAGAGTTTCTGCTTTCAAATTTTTTGCCTTATATACACTTAATTGTCGCCGAATCGTCAATGTTGTCGAAAATCTGTAAAATTATTTCCCGATATTGTATAACAGTCCTGAAATGACTTTTCCATCTGTTCCAGATGCCAGAATTTGACTATTTATATTTAGACATGAATGGTATCATACACGCATGTTCACATCCGAATGATGGTGATGTTCATTTTCGCATTTCCGAGGATACCATTTTTAAGAATATATTTCACTATGTGGAAGTACTGTTTAATATGATACGACCACAAAAGCTGTTTTTTATGGCAATAGATGGAGTAGCACCTAGAGCTAAAATTAATCAACAGAGAAGCAGGCGGTTTAGATCTGCCAAAGATGCTGAAGTACAAGAAGCTAAAGCCAAGGCACAGAATATCAAGATGCCTACGGATAAAAGATTTGACTCAAACTGCATAACCCCAGGCACCTTCTTCATGGCTGAACTTGCCAGACAGCTCAATCATTTTATTGTACATAAGATTTCTACAGACGATACTTGGAAAAAATGTAAAGTACTGTTCAGTGGCTCTGAGGTAACTCTATCCTGATATTCTAATACAAGAGAAATATGTAACCTATCCCTTCTTTTTCAGAGGGATAATATATGGATAAAATATTGCTATTTAAATGATGTTACAGCGAACTAAATCTGTTGCAGGTCCCTGGAGAGGGAGAACATAAGATCATGGATTTCATAAGATATATGAAAGCAAGTAAAGATTATAACATTAATTCTAGACATTGTTTGTATGGTCTAGATGCTGATTTAATAATGTTAGGTCTGTGTTCTCACGAGCCAAATTTCTCTCTTTTGAGGGAGGAAGTTAAGTTTGGTAAGAAGCAAAAGAGGATTCAGACTCCTGAGGAGACGAAGTTTTGTCTCCTTCATTTGTCGCTCTTACGAGAATATATAGATCATGAATTTTCGTTGGTTAAAGACAAGATATCTTTTCCATATGATCTTGAGAAGATAATCGACGACTGGGTTTTAATGGGATTTCTTGTGGGGAATGATTTTATTCCCCACTTGCCAAATTTACATATTGCCAATGGTGCACTGACAATTCTGTACCATGCATACATAGAAATATTACCGACATTCGAAGGTATATATCGTTAATTTACAACAAGTTAACAAAATTCACGTCTCTCTACAGTTATGCAATGTATAATTATGCTTCAGGTTATATAAATGAAGCGGGAACGTTAAATCTAAATCGTTTCGAGAAGTTTATGGAGAGACTTAGTCGTTTAGATCTAAAGCAATTTAACGAACATTATGCTGACTTGAAGTATTTTGAAAGTAAAACTGGTAGAAAGCCTAATGAAACTGAACGTCATGTATATGAGAAATCTGAAGACGAAGAGGTGGCATCCCCCAAAAAAATACAAAATAAGGATTTAGACGCTTTAATTAAGTCCACTGCAGAGATGGTATTTATTTGAGATGCTTATTAATAACTAAATAATAAACAGATGATTTAGCATTGTTTAATACAGTCCTTAGGACATTCCGATGAAGATGACGAGTTGGATATAATCGACGATGAGTCTGACAGTGATATATATCATATGGAATTTGTACAGCATAAAAGAGATTATTATATGAACAAGTTAGAGTACAAAAATGTTGATGCGTGAGTGTCCACTTTATAAATATATGATATCGCGCGGGAGATGTAAAGCCATAATTTCGTTATCCTAATGGATACACTCGTTATCACACATATTTCAGGGAGTTTCTACGTTCACAAGCAGAGGGTTATGTGAGAGCAATACAGTGGAATTTACATTATTATTATAACGGTTGTTGTAGCTGGTCGTGGTATTATCCACATCATTATGCCCCGTACATTTCAGACATAAAAGACTTCAAAGATTTAAAGTTAGAGTTCGAATTGGGAAAACCATTCACACCTTTTGAACAATTGCTGGCTGTGTTACCATCATATAGCAGGGAGCTATTGCCAGTAGCGTTCCAATCGCTATTGGTAGAAAAAGATTCTCCCATTATAAATTACTATCCGAGTGACTTTAAGACCGATTTAAATGGAAAACGGCAAGAATGGGAAGCAGTTGTACTTATTCCATTTATCAATGAAAAACTATTGATAGCTGGTACGTAGTATCTATCTCTGTGTCTAGTATTCTTGAAGATATGACATAAAATACTACATGACTCAAAACATATATATTTTAACAAATTTCTGTTATAACAAATTTAATAAAATTTTATTTAATTAATTTTATTTAATTTATTTAATTTATTAATTTATTAATTTTATTTAATTTTATTTAATTAATATTTAACAAATTTCAATATATCTAAGATATCAATAAAAGATTTTTTATAGAACTGGAACTCTCGAAAAAAGTAAATCTAAATCTGTTCTCTATGTTCATATGTGTTTAGCTATGCAGCCACACTTATCGAAGATAACACCAGAAGAACAACAACGAAATATGCACGGTAAAATGCGGTTGTACTCGTTTACCGATGATAAAATGAGTGTTAACGAAGAGACATCACATTTCCCACGAATTGATAATCACGCTTATGTATCATTAATAAGTTACGACGACATTTTCGTGCCGAAGCAGCAATTAGTCAGAGGGTTGTCTCCAGGCTACGATATAAACGTTTATTATCCTGGATTTCCTAAGCTGCATTGTATACGCCATACGGCGAGTCTAACAAAAGCTGAGGTATATCTGTCATTTGGTTTTCAGATTGATCCAGTTTTTAGCAGCTTGTCATACAGAACGTCTTTGTAGGTGAAAGTATTCCAGCAACCATCACGAGGAGAAAATATGATTTTATATGTGATATCAGAGCAGATATCAAGGTTGGAGGACTTGGCGTCACAATTATTAGGAAAGAGCGTGTACGTTGATTGGCCCTACTTGAAGAAAGCCCTTGTGGTCGGTGTAGCTAACAATAGCACAAAATTCACTTTAATCGATTCACTAGTCGATTATAATCCCGACAATGTGAACAAAGAAAACATGAAAGGCCAATTAGTCACTGAGTGGAATGTGCAGGAGAAACATATCAGAGAGACGTAAGATATGATTTGCATTGTCTATAATCAGTGACAAGATAATACTAAGAGTATGTAACATATAAAAACATTTGCTTGCAGATATATGTCGCGTTTCGGGATATCCATAGGTCATACCGATGTGCTGGTTTACGTTCGTCTTTTCCTGGGTAGCAAATATGTCTTTGGTACCCAAGGAGAAGTGACGCTTGAGAAACAGTGGGCCAAATTGCCCGTACCTTATGTTTATCAGACAGTAGTCAAGGATATTTCTACTTATTACAAGAGCCTACCAGTCTACAAAACTATGCATGATATCTTTGTACCAGGAACCATTTGTTTTATGCTGGGTTACCCATATTATGGTGCAATGGGAAAGGTATTACAGTTGCTTCTCTTATATTGAGATAATTGGTAGATGTATTAACGAATAGAATTGGAAAAGATACTATTAACAATAAAAGTAAAATCCGACAAATTAAAATTTAACTAATAGTTAAACTCATGTAAGTTACTTGCTGTGAGAACGTTACAGTTTTACTCAAAGATATTTTCACGAACTTTCACAGGTATTGCCAAATAAAACAGATGACACAAAGTCACGCAGAATCCAGGTCTCTGTAACGTTTACAAAGGAGCCAACGTTAGAGATCATTAAACAAGCTCATGCTCAACAGAAAACACGATACATGCACGGCAGTATCGCCGCGCAACGTCTTGGAATAAGTAGTCATCTATTGAGTAGGATCACTGGTACGATTTACGTTGTACAGGCATTGTCGAACGAATTGGACCTTACAAAGCATAATATCGGATTAAATTTGAAATTTAATAAGAAAAACGAAGAGGTAAAGAATGTCATGCAAACACAACACGATTATAGCTTTATAATGATCATAAAAGCTATCATCATTATATGTTCACTAGAGAGTGCCTTGAATAGAGTCTAGCCATAAGACAGCCAGTTTTGACTGGTCCCCTATGCTTTGTCAAATTTCATATCCTCAAAATATCCAATCCCAATATTTAATCACAGTACTCTCATTGCAGTAAGTTGAGATAAACAAAAAGAGAGATTGAAAATATATTCCTCTTTCTCGTAGGATTTTGACAAAACCAATTATGGCCAGACTCTGAAGGATCTCTCATATCACTTGCATATCACGTATATCTTTCGAAGTTTGTCCTAATCTATTACTATTTTTAAAGGTACCTGGTTACACCAAGAAAGAAAATAACCAATGGCTGTACAGTTTAAAGGCGATTGAACTGATCCGCAATTACATGACGAAGTGTCCCAACTTGTTTGAACGTTTAACAATAAATGTGACGAACGACATTTTCCAAGAGGAGGAGTTATTCGATAAAGAGTATGTGTACATCGTGTATTTTATTACATCAGCAAATCTCATATAATTTATGTATGTATGTATATTAAAAAAAAGATATTAAAATTATATACGCTTCAACATTTTGCAGATCGAACGAGTTGGAAGGTATAGTCACTTGGCTGAAAACAGAACTAAATAATATGGAGAGCCGCACTTGCGGAGTAGAAGCTATTGATACAGAAATAGTACAAAAACTCGAGGACGAATTAGAGGAATATCTGAAGACATCTGCTAACGACAGCAAAACAGTGATTATGCAGGTGAAGCCGCATTTGCTTTTCAAACCAGAATTACATTTGCGCAATATGGCGCCTGATACGAATTCTCAGCATCGTTTGTTGGACCGTATTTGCTGTGTTCGAAATGGCTTCACCGTACCGATTGGAGCTAAAGGCACTATTATAGGAATGCAGAAGGCGAATAATAATCCAGCGGAGACGATGTTCGATGTATTATTCGACCGGCCTTTTATGGGTAATCACCGCACATAATTTCTCTTTCCTCTTTTCGAATATTGTATTCTAAAAATCTGGCGCATGTAGAAACCATGAGTTGCGACGAATGCTTGCATTTAGCATCTGTGCAAATATTACAGGTGGACTCTCTGTGATCGGTTGTTCCGAATTGCGTGGCTATCGTCTAGCGATCACAGATTTCATGAACATCAGCTATGGCGAGAGAATGGAGCATGGAAATCCAATGAACGAGCCGTCAGAAAATTGGCGACAGATGACAGCAGGTACCTCTTCGCCAAAGAGAAACATCCGTCAGTCGCCGAAAGTGTCCCCGCAAATGCGTCTCGCCAAAAAGGGTCTCGAAAAATTGAATCAGGATATACTGTCGCAACTCGAGTCGAACAAAAAAACGATAACTGCACCATGCGAAGTACAGTCGAAGAAATCTCAGAATGCTTCTTCGAGTCAGTCCGAGTTTCAAACGTTATGGAACGAATTGCATAGTTTGCAGGTCAGTACAATCATGCAAATTCGCTATTCGCTTATTTCATAAATCATAAGTCTTTGTATGAATAATAGAAGCTGAGTGTCCCGCCACCGCCGCCGTCAAAACAAATACCGTCGAGTTCGATGGTAAAAATGAATCCAGGTGCAAACAGTCGCAACGCACAATCGGTAAATATCGTTGAATAATGCACTTTATGAATTTAAAACTCTCCACTTCCACCGTTGTATTTGAAAAAATTGTTATATACAATCGCAGGATCCTAGTGCATTCTTGAAAGCTATGTTGAAAATTGCTGATGGAGATGAGCAAACGAGTAATAAGCAACAGAGCGATCAATCAACAGAGGAATCCACGACAACGTCTCAGAAAACAACAATTGCGGAAAAACATGGAACATCGGATCCACCCCCACCTTTGGTACAACAATGGTTTGACGTATGTACAGTAGTTGAAAACAATATTTGCACACTCTATCCCTTTTGGACTAAATTTATTCGAAAGAAGAAGATATTACTGTGCGTGCGCGCGCGCGTGTGTGTGTGTGCTATATTTCATTAGCATACATATTTTTTGTTGAATACATATTATTTTTATAGCATGCTCGACGTGCTGAGGAAAAAGAAGAAAAGACAAATCCAATTTGGTATTGTTCACAATTATTGAAACATTTTTCATGCAACAGTATTGGTATGCCAAAGTATGTTTATACTTTTGACGACAAAACAGGTTTAATTAGCTGTCAGATTTTGCTGCAAAACGCAAGCTTTAGAGGCGAACCTTGCGCCACTCATGGGCAAGCCGCAGAAAGTGCTGCAAAAAAAGCATATAAGGTAGCAGGAAATATTTAAGAAAAATTTTACACAAATTTTACGCAGAGTACCCTAAAAGTTGTTGCGTCATATTATATCTTTAATGTAATTTCTATTATCAGACGTTAAATTTGGATAAAATATCAACGCCTGATACGAAAATGATACCGGCACCTCGACAACAATGGTACAACGGCCAACAAAATAGTTCTTGGGTCCAAAATATACGGCCTCCTGTGATGCCAATGTGTCCTCCAAAGATGCCACCAATTCCGCAAAATCTAAACATGCAGCCCAACTTATTTTACCCAAATTGGAACCAAAAACTGCCACCAAATCAAGGGTTCAACCAAACCATGTACGGTCAATACAGACAACAGCTAGGGAGACCTCCGCCATTGCACTCCACCACTCCGGTTCTGAACCAGCCCACAGTAGAGATTAGGCAAAGCACCGCGTTTGTTCCGTTGCAGGCTCAGAAAAAAAACAGAAACACTAGCGTGAAGCAGATTCCGAAAGAAGTAAGCCCAAGCGTCAAGAAAAACCTTAATCCTAACATGCAGCAACAGCAACAAAAAAAGGAAGAAGCTCAAAAATTGTCACTCAAGGTTTATAGATAAATATATATGTACACGTACATAGACACATGCGCGCTGGCACACATATATACACATCCACCCAACAATCTTATTGCAATTGCTTGTATTTTTGAAATATAATTTAATTTCTCATTTGCATGCAGGACGAAGTGGCGGAAGCTATACATAAAATTAAGAAGGAGTTAAGTGAGCCTAAAACGTCACAACAGCCGCAGAATGCGGCGGCAAAAACGTCCAAGCCCAGGAAATCGCGCGTTGCTGCGAAATTTGGCACACAAACTTTATCAAACGGTAGTGAACCCCAGTGAAGATTCTACTTCATTCGGTATGACGGGAGTAGATCTCTTCCACGAATTATATGTAAATATAAGAGAAATACGTACTCCATCTCTCCGCTCTCGTTTGTTTTCTACATTTTAATACGTGCAGATTTTTCTTTAAAGATTTCCAACGGGCCAGTATTTCATTAGAAATTTTGAAGATTTTATGACACACTGGGCGTTTTTCGTACTTATATGTACGATCGTATGCCAGTGCATAAAGGACTCATTATACAAACTCTCTCAAATGAAATGTATATATATACACATGCACCGAACTTATATATATAAAATATACAACATAAAGGACATTATTATAAATGAGAGTGATCAATTGATTGTTTATTTTATATTTTGTACACTCTGCAATGTACTGGTATATTGTCATTAATGTAAATTAATTTTTTGATTTTATCATAATTTATTGAAACGATTAATAACCGATATTTTGAGAGTTTACCATTCCTAACATTTTGAAATTATTTATTAATTTCTTAATATTACCTGTTATATATCTGCTCGAGTAACGATATTTTATGTTACAATGTATACATCGTGCGTACAAAAAGAATCAAAAGTATATGATAAAGATTGATAATCATATTTTTCACGATTTCTTCTTAAGATTTCTTTTTGTAGATATGCGGATCTTTTATTTCTTTTTTTATTGTTAAAATACATATGCACAAGGATCATATTGTATTGGTTTCAACATTTCGTTTAAAAAAAATAAGATAATCTCTCTCTGTCTCTTTATCTTTCTATTTACCTACCCATCTCTTTCTGAAGCCGTCTTTCCAAGAAATATTTCAATTCATGATAATATTGAAACTTAGGATACTCTATTTTATGACGTAACGCGTTTTAGAAAAGGAAGAGATCGATTTTTATTGTAACACATGTACATCTCGATGTGGAATAACATTACGTAAGTAACGTATGTAGACATGGAGAAAGTGATATTAATTAAGCATAAGTAGAAAGATGTATGATCTATCTTCGACGGATCTTTTCTGTATTTCTTCTTTCTGTATTACAAACAACAAAGAACAAATCAAAATTAAATAACATAATATCCAACAAAAGATATTTCTATTTTACCTATAACAAACCAAATCGCATGAGAGTTGCTAAATCACAACGTAATTTCATATTTTGTTATTTTTAACTGATTTTAGTTACTTGTTTTCTAACAGTTTCTTGATAAATTAGTTATTAATTACTAGATATCAGCTAATAAACGATTATACTCAATGGGAAAGGATCGGAAATGCATTATAAATTTTTTCCCCAATCCTTTTTTTACTGAAATTAATTAATCTTGCAGCACGTTACATGCAGTCAATGAATATTTTACAATTTGAAGAAATGCAAAAATGGTATATAAGTATATACAATATGTTTATTATATTAAGAGATAAATTATATTAATTTCCGTATGTGTATTACATACATTATATTGTGTATCAATCCCTCTCTTTGTGGAGTGAAACTCATCTTACGTCAGGGTATCGAAAGTTCTGTCATTTCGAGAATTCGAAAGTCCCGCCTTTTGTCGACACTGCATATTAAATTCCTTCAGCACTTCACAAAGTCGATTTTTCGTTCTCTCCCGCAAGATGCGCGTTATGTATTCCTTCCGGAACGCGGTGGAGTCACTTTGGCTCTCAAACGCGACTCGCAACCACAGTTCGTGCCATTCAAAGCAGTTTTTATTCAATGCTAACAGAACTTCAACGTAAGGTTCTAGATTATGATGCGTTGTTACACCTAGTAAAAAGAAATAAATAATCGAGCAAACAACTTCATGAAATTTTGCGAATTCGCATACTTCAGAACGTATTCCCACTTACTGATGTGATGCAGGATTACAGAGACAAGTTCCTGGCCAATTGGTTGGATAAATGTCTGCAAGTGTGGACTTTGTGCGATCGCGTGATAAAGAAAGTTACCGGCTGTTTTGACTGTCGCAACCTCCGGTAGCGTTAAACAAGCAATTCCTAAAACAACAAGAATAAAAATTAAATTACAAGACAATTGTATCTCTAGTGATATTATTATTGGAAAAATCGGGCTCGGATTTAGAAAACAATTTTTCTCAATAGGTACACTTACCACACTGCAACATATCCTGTATTTGATCCGGGATTTGCAGCAATAACTTAATATTCTTCCTGCAAATTTGTGCAAGCACACCTAAATACGCCTCCATCAAATCCGACCAATCAGACAGATCACCCTGTACTGATCTGCACGCCTTCACACCGCTCAGCGTTATCGAACTAATTTCAGCGAGCACTGATCCTATGATGTTGTCCTGATCTTTTCCGAACAGTAGTATCAAGCTACGCAGCAGGTTCAATGCTTCTGGATGCGGCCATGTCTTGTAGGATGTCGTCAGAATTGACAGTAACGGCCGTGCGTCCGTCTCTGGGTGCAATAATGATTGTAAGGATCGTTGGGCGCACAAATACATTGCCTCCAATGTAGCGTTGTCTTGACTCCATTCAGGATGCGCGATGATTTGATGGAACAGCGGTATCAGCCCGTCTAGCACGGCCTTACCAATCATGCCCTCAAGACTAGAGAGGCACGCGACGATCATTTTCAAATGACTTGTTACGTTGGTTCGCGCCACGAACAGTGGTTGCTCCAACAGTTCCTTCAATCTCACTATACACAGCCCTAGCGTCGCGTTGAGATACGTCAATTGTAATTCTATGGTGGGTAACGTGTTGAGTACCTTTCCGGCGGCATACATAAGCCGCAAGGCTTCACCGCTACCGGGAGCGACGCTCGGCAAAGTCTGTCTAATAGTATTGAGGATGGATGGCGCAAAAGGTGCAAGATGCTCACCACATTCTCTTACGACATCCTTCAATGCCATGCTTGCGAAAGGTGCGATAGCGGGACCCTTTGTGAGTCCCAGCGTGATGAAATGCAACACTTCTTTCAATCTGCGATCGGGATGCTCCCCGATCCATTCGGCGAATGCGCCCAGTGCCGAACAAGCACACGCCATCACCTGCAAATCGAATTTCTTCTAAATATCACTGCTACATAAATATACGCTACAATTCACTAGTGATCAATATATACAGAAATAACGAAAATAATAATAGTAAATTATTAGTATGTGAAAAAAAGTGAAGATAATAAAATACGATACACGATGTTTTTAATGTCAATTATCGCGTGAGGTATATTATATACACGTACGTCCGCAGGATAACAATCGTAAGGTATGGAAAGAATCACGCATATCATCTCCGAGACATAACGAACATTCCGGCTGCCAACGGCTTCCGCCAAGGCTTTAAATGCGTGCAAGGACGCCTCGATTTCAGTCCAGTTTTTATTGTCACACATCGCCTTGGCTAATCTCTCCAAAACCATTTTCAGTAGATCCTCTTGAAGAACCTTGTAGCAGTAATCTAGAGTGTCTGCCACATCTTGTCTGTAACATCTAAACAGCTCGCGCTCATTTGCGTTGCTTAGTTCTTGGCGGCATGGAAGAGTCGACTTCTCTAGTAACGCCTCAGCCAATCGAGTGTAAATGGGTTTCAACGCTAATAAAGCCCATTTCTCAAGCGGCTGGTCCAGTGTGCCTAAGTCATCCTGCAACGCATACCAAAATCCAAACGGGATGCAACTGCGAGTTTCGTCCGTTGGATAACGACCTGGCTGAGATGTACACTCCAACAGTAGCTCGATCAAGTCCGTAGCTATCTCTTTGTGCATCAAATCGTTACTACCGCCAGCTAGAGCAATCAGAAACTCGCGACTATGAGTTTCCCCAATAGCAGTTAGCACTTCGCAGAAGTATTTAGTATTATGTTCTTTAGCCGTTATTGTCAAAGTTCTAGCCCACTCCCAAAGGGTCTGAGGCCATTTCTTCAGGTCGCAGTGTGTCACTATTATAATCAAACACTCTTGTACTATATCCCAACCGCGATCATGTTCAGAGTCAGTATATGATAAATTAGACGACCTAAAGAAAAAATGTTACAATATCTAGTAAATTCATATAACAGTCACATATTATTTTTTGTATCATGCTTTATACATATATAAATTTTGTATAAATCTTCTATTACTGAATTTCTTCCTCCAAATAATTAATATAAGAACGTACTTATTAGGTGCGTAGTGGGATGCCATAACTAGTAGATCAGAATAGATTTGACCAATAGCTTCCAATGGTAGTTTGTCAGTCTTAAACCAAGCTAAAGTACATTCTAAACCCAGGATCATAAACGTCGGTGTACATGTAAGTGTATCATATGAAGAGAAGATCAGTTGCAAGCAACACAAAGTTTTGTGCCAACCACTGACTAAAACTTGTGAATTGCCACGTGTTTGTCGTCTCCTATCGCACTAATAATAAACAAACGATTATTATAGTAATATTAAGTTATGTAACATAATTTTGTGTATATCTCACCTCGCCAGGAAGTAATGAAAGTACTCGTAGTATTAATTCTAACATGGATTGAGAATTTGTCGGAGTTAAAGCATTAAACAGGTCATCAACTATACTTGTATCTTCCTCTATCTTTTCTACATTGTAACTATTGGCTATAAACGCAGCAAACTACAATTAATAATAAACAATTGGTGACTATTGCATTATATGCAAAAATAATCATTTGCAATGTATCACTTTCTTCAATTATATATATAATAACTTTATAATTATAATTTATAATAACAGAGAATTTTTTTAAATAATATTACCGCTTGACAAAGTTTTAAAAGAACAAATTCAGGAGTATTGGGTTGTTTCAGACTCTTGACCAAGTAATCTCTTAACATTGGATAATCATGTTCAGGTACTTCATCCCACTGCTTGATTATCTTTGTATGTATAGTTGTTGCTGCAAAAAACTGGACTTCTCCTGACTGCAAAAATAGTACATGTCAAAAAAATTTTACCTTAAATTTAGATAGCCAGGTAGAAGTCACACTTCTATCTTGTCATATTTATATAATTTATCATCTTACTTATACTTATGTTTACTTGTTTCACATATCTCTACAACATGCGTATATGTAGCATGTGTATGTTGCATGTTGCAAAATATAGATATAATAATTGTTCAGCTATAACTGCAAACTTTTTTGAGCATTCAATCGTAGAATCATTGTGAAAGTAGAAACTTCATATTGAAAGGATGAAAAAATATAAAGAGAAAAAGTAAACTATGTCGTGAAACAGGTACTATGTGATCCATATATTTACAAACCTTGGAAGGATCTAAAAGTTCCCATACAAATTTCCAGGCTTCGGGGGAGGCTTGTGCCTGTAAGAGCCACGAATGTGCCTCATTGCTGCCCACTGAGTAGAATTCCTTGACAGCTTGATCGACAATCGTTGCATAATCCATTCCAAGCACTTCGTGTAACTATGTAGTTTTAACAACGAGCGTTTACTTGCTTATTGTTAGAGCAACGTGCAAGCAAAAAAGATCTATATACAATAACTAAGACAAGTAACGTACGCTCCACACATTTAGCGTCTCACGTCGCTAATCTGACATTTTTCTGCTTATTTATTACTTTATTCACTTGTTCATTTATTTTACACCATACGATCAAAGCATTAAGTATAACATAACCTAATCCAACCTAACTTAACTGACGCATCTCAACAACTGCCTGTTAGATGGAGCATGAGTCTACATGGCTGCGTTCCAAAATTCTACTCGATGGGTAGAGTACATTCTAGTCACAATCTGTGGTCTGTTCTTTTCAGCTGCACTGCTGAACTAGTGCAATAAGTTAGAGGAAGAAAATATATACTTGTCTCACTTTAACTTGTTGCACCAGTTCAGCAGTGCAGCTGAAAAGAACAGACCATTAACCTTATGTTCGTAATATTGGGAAAGTCCAACTAACTTGTCACGTTTTTAATGGCGTTTTATATATTTAAACAATTTTTGTAATTATTCTATATAACAATTTTTTTATATATAATATAATATATATACTATATAATATGGATAATGATGATACAATGGATACAGTAGTTGGATTACAAAATACAGCAATTAAAGGTATCATTACGAACAATTCATTAAACATTTTATAAGGATATTAATGACGTTATAATAAAATGAAGCGTCTAATTAATCCCATAATTTCTGATAATTAATATTCTTGTGTTATTGTAATATTTATTCACTAATAACAATTTTTGCTATAGCAACAAATTTAGTAGAACGAAATATTGTACCACAAGGTATACCATTAGTAGATCCAACTGCTGTAGCTAAATCAAGTCGACAGGATTTAACAGCTTTAGTGACAGAAATAGAGAAGGTAATAGAAAATAATTACATAATATTTGTAACTTTTAAATTATGTAATTTGTATTTTTATTAGTTTGATTTACCATATTATATACTATTTTCTCATACAGGCTGATAGCTGTATAAAAGCTAATGCATATAATAAATTACAAGTGATTGCTGAACAGATAAAATTTTTGCAAAAACAAGCTGAAGGAATTTTATTAGAAGCAGAACGAAATGCAAAGTTACATCATGTTGCTTGTAATTTTGTAAAACAACCTGGTCAAGTATATCATTTGTATCAACGAGAATCAGGACAATTTTATTTCTCTATGATTAACCCAGAGGTAAGTAATATTTTCATATAAACTATTTTCACATTATAATTTATTTTTTTTATATAGGAATGGGGTGATTTTATACCATCACAAAGTTACAAAGGTTCCTTTAGATTAGAACATGATCGTTCTTGGACTCCATTGTCTCAATTACAGATAAAAAACGATGAATTAAATATGTTTAAGAAATTCTTACCTGATAGTACAAGTACAAATACTCTTTTGCATAATGTTATGTTAAATACAAACATATAATGAATTTATTAGAATTATTTAGTTTTAGAGAGTACAAATTATATAAAAACAAATGTGTTGACAGAAAATTTGAACAAAATAATATCTTAGTTTGACAATAAATGTTTCCATCATATAATTTGTGAAGTAAGTTTATTTCATGACTCCATATCAACTTGTTTGTAATCTTTTTAATTGATGTACACACAAATATATCTTGCATGTTCCACAATACATACAATCATGTATAGGAACATCATTCAAATTGGTAACTATTTTATACAATTGATTCTGCCTTGTAATATATTACTTTTTAAATTATTATTATTAATAATCAGTTGTGCATCTAATTAACAAATGTCCTTATACACAAATGCAAATTGTATACCTACTCCACCTAGTATATAGCTATATAAACCGATTTATATCTAAAATATAAATCAACTTGATATTGGGTCCAACTATGATAATAGGTTTTAAAAAGATCAATATGACAGTTTAAAATACAAAGGTCTTAAAAAGATCAATATGACCTCAAAATATAATAACATATATATGTATATATGTGTGTGTGTATATATATATAATTATTAATATCTCTATAGGCAGTAGACTTTTATTTAGGTTAACTATGTTTTGTTCTGTTCACAAGATATCTTGAACATAAATTTCTACTTTCTTTAGTAAGTAGAAATTATATACAATTTAAAATTAATATATATATATATATATATATATATATATGCATTTTAAATTGTATATTCTAGATACTTTTTGAAAAGATCATTAAAAAAAAAACACGATCTCATTTAATACGTGTCTTTTTTAACACAGTACAACAAAATGTGTATGTACGTCTTCTAAGACGATTCTTTCACATTTTGAATTACATGACTATTTTCAAATAATTAAATATTTTACTGAGAGAAGACAATACTAATATATAAACGATGAAGATCAACGAACACTAGGTATTTTTCATCATCTATGTAAAATTAAATCTCTAAGAGTTAACCAGTCTACACTGCAGTAATATGCCGATCACAGATGAGGTTTGCGGCGACTGCGTTTTGTTTTTAACATCGACCGTATACGTCAGGTAGTGTTCACTTTATGCGCTGAAACATGAGAGAGAGAACGATAAATCTAAATGTTAAAAGATATGAAAATATAAAAAGATATGAACACGTCAAGATATATAGTCATTATTTTTTTTTGTATTTGACATCGAGACGCTACTGCATTTTTTTTCGATTTTGAACGGACTAATAAAAATTAATTCTTACATGAAACTGGTATCCTAAGAGAAACATCGTCTCGTATGACACATTCATGTGTTTGTGTGTGGAAAAGATACTGTACCAAAAGTTGTTTATCTTCTCCCACACATGGATCATAGAATCCAGGTAGTTGACTCTGCACAATGATATAATACATTACCAGCTATACAATAATAGTTAATATATCCGATTATATAATTACAAGTAATATATATGTTCTTATATATTATTTAAAACAAATTAGCAATACAAATTTATGTCTTAAATCTGTGTACAATTAAAATATGATGGGAACTAATATGATTAGAGCATCTGGCATACCTTAGATGCTTTATGAAGAATCAATTTGGAATCTTTGACTAAACATTGTAAAGGAATCGTCACATCTATCATTTCGTCTCTATGTCCACTTTCTTCCAAATTAGATCTATCTTGTTGAGGATAGACAAATCGGCCGTATAGCGCTTTGGTAATAATTAATCCTTTCTTAGATTCCTCCTCGGCTCTTATCCTGCTGACAGTTTCCTTCATCAGTTCAATGGCAGCTTTGGCTTCTCTTTGCTTCTCTAATATTCTGGATTTGTACATCTCCTTCTGCTTCTCCTTCTCGCGCTCTTTTCGCTCTTTTACTACCGGATCGATTATGAGTTTTTTAATAACTGTCCATGTTACAATTGGAACCACAGTGGCATAGAAAACAGGAGCTGGAAGAACCTCGTCACACAAATGGATAGGGAACGTGTATGCCTGCGAGGCACGACTCAGTTTAAGTTTTAACGTGACGCCAGTTGGCACACCGACGCGTACAGCTGCCGAGACCGAGCTGTGTTGAGAGACCTTTTTTTCCACACCGTATTCGAGAAACCCGCCGAAAGTGCCAGCTCTGTACAGATTATAACAAAGTCGGTTATGAGCAAACGTGCATCTCTGGAAACAGAAAGAAATATGATAAATAAACAATTTCTATAGGCAATACCAACTTGATACTACTACGAAGCCTGAGTTCTTTCTCTTGCATCTTATAGGTGTAATTAAGGCTGATGAAAGAATGTAGAAGTCCAAAATGTATGGAGAATGCAATGTACGATCGGGATGTGTCTCTCACAATCATAGTGCTCATAGCATCCTGTATACCATTTCTATATGTGAGGTATCCTACTGTATGCTTGTCCAATTGCATTGCAAGAGCTGTAAATGAACTTATATATTCCCTGCTAGTATTTCCTATCTTATATTAACTTTTGCTAAATGGTATCTGAATACGAGCTGTTCCAGTTATCAGAGTCAGTGCAATTATTGGAATTATCAATATAAGAGTTAAATATTAATAGAGTTAAATATTAATAGAGTTAAATATTAATAGAGAATTTTTGGTTTTAGCTATAATCTTAGCTAAAGCCAAAAATAAAATTATAATCTTAGCTATAATCAGAATTATAATCAGAAACATCTTGTATATTTAAAATAGGTACCTTTTACTTATTAAAGTCACAAACATGTTTATCTAAGTTAAAAACACATTTTATCAAAAGAATGTGTGTGAAAAAGATATGGGGTAGAATACGATATTTGCGTGAAATGCAGAATGATATACAATTTCACAAATAAACGTACTTCCCACGCAACCAGTTTTTATGCCGTGTGATGTAAATTGCACTATTGTTGCTGCATCACAGAATAATCTTTTCGTCAACGTACGAAATCCTTTGAGTGAAAACGTCGGGCCGTTACCAGCTCCAATCTCGGCTTCTACCCAACCTTTTGAAGATATTAATCGTTTCGCCGAGATATTAATCGACCCGGAACCCGTACCATTTTGAGTACCAAGTTGTCCGGACATAGTTACCGTGTCTTTCAACGTAAGAGGCGCTTCGATAGACTGCGCAAATGACATCCCACTAACTTCAACGCATGAGAAAAACCCACTGCTATAACAAAGTTCAAAGTTATTAGTTACATAAGTATAACTTGAATTATCGTTTCTCACTATCAGTACTGATGCTTTATTACGGTAATTTTTAGAAATTGATCTTACCTATCGATGTAATCCTCGTCGTATTTACTGAAAAGATCGGTAGCATTGATGTTTACCGTTACAGTGCCTTTAGGATTCGTACGCTGTTGCAAACGTCTCTCTTCTCTCTCCCTGGCCAATCTCTCGTATTCCTCCCGAATCTCCTGAGGTGTCTTTGTGCGCTGTACAATTTCCCATCCCTCTGTTTCTAATCCACGTATTCCCAGTGAATCATAAATCGCTCTCTGATGTGGATCGCTCAATACTATAATATTAAATGTTATTTTTAAATATAATTAATCAAATGAAAAAATATATAATATATGTATAATCAATACTGCAAATCTGGAGCCACACATTAGGCAAGGGTTAAGTCCCAAGTTCAGTAAAATCATCAAAATAAAAAAAAAGGAAATTGGGAGTTTGCGAGATATACCAAAAACAAATGCTAATGGAAAGCTCTCTTCTTTCTTGCTAGACATTAAGATCTCTTGTACAGCCTTTATTTTGAATATTTTAAGTTTAAGAGTTTCAAGAGTTTTTGATTTTTCCTGTTTGCTGTAGCTTTATATGTCCTACCTTATTAACTTTTTATCATTTAATTTTCCCCTTATTTTATTCCTTCGCTTTTATATATGTGTAATTACAATAAACTATACCAAAATCAATTTATATCTCAATTAATGATTGATAGTATAAATGAGATAACACATGTTAATCAAAGATAACTTCAAAATTTTGACTAAAATATAACAAAGTGATACCTAAAAACTGATGTATTTCTGAGACAAATATAAGTATAAATGTTAACATCTAATCATACACAAACCTTCATACGCTTTTTTGGTACGATTGAAGAGAATTTCTGCTTCCTTTTTAAGCGTTGGATCTGTATGTTTATCAGGATGATAGAGTCTACTTTGTCTGCGATATGCATTGCTGATATCTTCAGGACTAGCCTAAAGCAATAAAATATATAGTTGTAACAACTATTCTTGGTTACATCATCTGTATATATATAAATGTTATGAAAAAGAAAACTATATGAGGGTCAAATATAAAACATTACTATTACTAATATTTCTATGATATTCAGTAGAGAACTTTATTGTAGCAAGAAATGCTCCAGATGTAAAAATTGACAATACTAGATTGACACTGTCAAAGTGTTTGTAACATTGTAATTAATGTTCATAATGTTAGTCAAATGGCACAGGTTAGTTGTAAAAAACAACACTAAGTTTCTTGCAGAACCGATTGCATTACGTCAGCATTAAAAAGACGAAGGTCCACGTGGAGAACCTAAACTATTCTCTACTTCCTATGGAACCGGGAATTTTTAGAACTATCATAACAAGTTATTGGACATCCTCACGTTTCTCGGGATATTTAGAAAGGTGTAATAATCGTCCTCGATCGTATTCTCCTGATCGCTCTCGTTGTCCATGTTAAAACCAGTAAATTTTGCACCGTTCAATGAATCTGGATAATCGAGTAGCCGCGTTTATAGGTTCGCTTCTTATAAGTTATAGCGGACCACGGGACAACAGCAGGCCGGTAATCGTCAATTTCCCCCGATTCTCGTTAGATGGCGCTGCATGTTCAAAGCTGAGGAACCTGAAGTTATCTGTAATTATCGATACAGTTTCTTGTCCACAACTTTGCTTTAATTCTTAAACCGTAAGAAATTGACTAACCACAATTGATTATTTTTTAAATAATCGACTGTAGTTGATCAATTTATTACGGCTTAAAGATTAATGCAAGATTGTGGACAAGGGGTTACAGATTTATATATTTTCATTGAAAGTCAATTCTTAAAGCTAAAATATCGCAGCTTATTTCTTAACTAAACATAAATATTGCTCCAATAGTTTATTATATCAAGTTTATATTAAGTTTTTGAACATTTTATATCGATTTCCGAACAATCGATTTTTATTATAGTTTTTATCGTTTTATATTGCGTTTCACTTCAGAGCGATAAACCGGAAAAACAGCCATTAGTAATTTTGAATGTAGTAGTTTAGTTCGTGTTGTGTGCATTTCTTATATTTTCGTACACGATTATCTTCTTTTTGATCCTGTCGAAGTCACTTGCACTTGCTTGTATAACTTTTAATGTAAATTACGTGTAAGATACACGAAATGTGCGAGAAACAAACAGATCCAGTATCTCGAGGTAAGAAAATTGCAAACATAACCCTCAATAGATATTGCAAATTGTATTAAGTCTTCAATCATTTACTCGCGACACTTTGATAGTGAAAATCGCGAAAATTCTAAAAATAACTCGAGTTTATGGATTCACAAACATCCTAGGCAGCACACAATATATTTACAAAATATTTTAGAAATATAGATATTAAATAATTTAATAAATAAATTTAATAAATAAATATTCTAATATCCGAGATTTTCAGGTATAAAAAGGATTATAATAAATATTTAAAAATATTTATGAAAAATATTTACCATAAATCTTTCATAAATTATGATCTTTTTCTTAAAAGTATCTATGAAAAATGTTTTCATAAAATGTTTTCATAAATATTTTTAAATATTTATTATAAACCTTTTTATACCTGAAAATCTCAGGCATTTGAATATTTATAAAATATTTAATATCTATATTTCTAAAATATTTTGTAAATATTTTGTGCTGTCTGAGGTAGAGAAGAATATGTAGAACGAGTTATTTATTTATTTTATCATTGTCTCATTGTCTCATTCCAGCTCTCTTAGAGTGAATCAGTAAAAATGTTCCTAATGTGAATAACTTGAATCAGTGGAGAGTATTTCATTGATAATCAGTAAATATTTCTGATTCTCAGTAGAAATACTTTACTGCTTTATTTTATGTCTCACTGATTTTGACTAGTGGAAGATTTCACTGCAAAATCAATAGTACACATGTCGTTATACATTGTGCCAAGTCCAACTTTCTGCATTTGTGATGACAGAATTAACAGCTCCTGTGTGATATGTGTACATATTATCTATATTTGCGAAATGCATCAATAATTGGAACAGTTTTTATTATTAATTGTTAACTATTCAGTGAAATTTTATTAATTGCAGTACTATACTTACAACTGAACCACCAATTGTAAGTGTACTATTTCAGTGAAGAATACACTGAAGGAGAAACACTTTAGTGAAAAGAAACGAAAAGTGTCAAAGCTCTGACTCGATTTACATTAAGTTTAGATCGGCTCGAGGTACGTGTTTCCGATTGACGGCGGTCCTCTCTCGATTGACTCGTGAATGGAGCTTTATATTATTTGTTTGGAACCAATCTATCGCTTGGTATGGGAGGACGGCAAAGCAACGGGGGAATTTTTACGAGCGGAGTATCGCTGCTTAGCAGGCCGAGGACCACGAGGAATTCGTTCGCGCGTACAAGGAACGTCAGGCGCGTAAAAGGTAATATTGTGCGACGGTGGGTCGCTTTTAACGTAAACATTTACGCCTCGTGGCCGCTAAAATATGAAGCCACGACTTAGTCTCGTAATAATTTACGAGGTCCTCTCAGAGGATGACAGTGGCCGCACGTCGTTGTAGAAGGCACATAAAGCCGGGCGTATACTGAGAAAATGAACAATGAATACAAATATTTGTTTTATCATTAAAAGAATATGTATGCCTTAACGAACAGTTTTATTCGCATTCAGACTAGTTCGCTCATAAAGTATTTTATCGAATAAAGTTAGACGCAAATGTATTCACAGATTTACTGTTTATTCGTTGTTCTTTCGTTCAGCATATATTCAGTTTTACGCGACTCGATACCATCTGATGCATTAAGACAAATAAATTTCAGTTCATTGAAGCGAAAGGTTTTAGACGCAAATTTGGTTTTGCCACCGCAAGAATGTCGCGAGATATATTGAGAAAAAGAAATGATTGATCTAACTAAAATTATTGTTATTTTTGACTTCAACCATATTTTTTGGTTATTCCAAAACGAAAATGGTAGTAGTAACATGCATATAAGGTTAGTGTTACTAACATTATAGTAGAATATAATTAAAACAAAATTTCTAGTCCATAATTTATAGTACTTATTTCTCTATGTGATTGTAGTTATAAATATTAAACTTATGTCTCAGTGTAAGAATCGCGTTGCGTTGTATTCAAATAGAATGCAATTTTGACAGTCGAAGCAATAAGTTCTCTTTCAATTTTAGATATAGACACGCTCTTAGAAAGTTAGAAAATGTGACGTGCACTGGGACGGAGATAGCCAGGATGAAGAGATACAACAGCGATTTAATCCATCGTACGGCGGAGATTAGGTAACTGACTTTGAACGCATTTTGAATAAGACGACAGACGAACAGCTTCTAGTCACGACTATACTTCGCGATACCGTTCTGCACGGAACGTGACCGCGTGGTAATCGCTCCTGTCTCGCCTCGCCGCGACAAACAAACGACTATAAAACGGCAGTAAAAAGTGAAGGGTGAGCTTGAGCTCACGAGAAGGAAGAAAAGGAGAGCAGAAGGGAGAGAAAGAAGGTGAAAGAGAGAAAGAGAGATCAGTTCGGGTCGGGAGAGAGCCAGTTTGCTTTGACATTGCCCAATCAAAACAAGGACTCCCTTTACTTCTCCTGTTTCTTCAAGCGTGCTCTGATACAACTAGATTGAAGGATAAAGGTTCCTTGGTTGTCGCAACTTATCGGCTTTTTCTCGGTAATGAATCGCTATTGACAAGAAATTCGATGCAAGCATATTCAGAACGAAAGTCAAATTGGGGTAAATCCATAAATGTATTGTTTTCTCCATTTAATCAAATTAATTCAAATACTTCCTAAGTAAGACTTAACGTTTCAAGCGGAGAAATTTAAACAAAAAATATAACAAATTCCTGAGAAAGAAGCCTAAAACTTATATTTCTATATCTTTACATTTTTATTCGCTTTAATTAACCAATCGATATATAGCATAAGAATAAGTGCATACTAATCCGGATATATCCACAAGTTCCATTCTTTTCCATTCGATTAATTTTATGATTAATAATGTCGCTAATGACTTAAATTAGTTCTGAACATGCCGGCGTGTTAAGACGCGACAATGGCTTCCGGAACAAAATTTGCGTGTCCGCGGGTAAAGTAAAAAAAGTGATTTATAATGAATATCGACTTCAGAACAGACTTAATTATCATTCACGGTGCATTAATTAACTTGTCGACGATAATACAGTAGCGCGTGGGTGCGCGACAGCGAGGCAGGCAGGCAGGAACAATCGAACGCGACCGGGCCGGTCGATGTTGCTAAACACGGTCATTGTGCTGGGTTAACAATACCCCGCTATATCAGCAACATCGGCGTCCATAAGTCCCAGCATTCGGTCAACAATTCGCACACTCGGCCATTGCAGCTGTTGAAAAATATCCGGCCACGCTTGACCACCGTTGTACCCATTTGTTTCCCTTCCTGTCGCCAAACCGATCTCCGATTCGCGATTTCCGTAGATCCCCGTTAAGAGGATCAATATCACGGGGAGTGTTTGGATCAGGCGCTATTAAGGATTTCATTTCGAAAGTGCCTAGAATTTACATTTTCGAGAAATGTTACGAAGCTTTTCGCAGCTTTATGTCTGTATGTATGTGTATAACGTTATTCTATTTTTGTTTAATAAAAATTTAGTTTTGAAACGGCTTGAAAAATAAGCTCGGATGAGATATATATATTCAGGTTCTGCGAAATTTGCACGCGTTCAGATTAAATTCATACGATCTTTGGTAAATGTATTATAAATTGCAAATTAACGCTTTATTGTTACAGATGGCGATTTCGTCACATTCCTACATATTCGTCACTTCTACAGAGTGCTAACATCTTATAATTTTTATGTAAAAGGATATATAGATCTCCATCATACTAAAGTCATTATTCGAAAAGGTAAATCTTGCTGATTTTTATTGGGATGAAAGTTTACTACACAGAAAGTTTACTACACAGAGAGAACGATTTGTTGAATCAAATAAACGTTTCTTTAAAATAATCCAAACAAAAAATTTTTTGGTTGACACAACAAAAATATTTTGTTGGAACTAAGCTGTAACTAAATATTTTTGTTGTGTCAAACAAAACTTCGTTCGATTAATCACAAAATTTGGACCATTCCAGAGCAGTATATTTGTTTGATTCAACCAAATCGTTCTATCTGTGTAGAATTTTTCGAAAGTTTGCAATTTCCAGTTGATTTTTTCGAAAGTCTGAAGTTTGTGAGAGCATCGTCGTCATTGCATCAGTCGAGAATCGATTTACTCGATTAGGTGTGATCAGGTCTCTATCTTCTCAAAGTATGAATTTAGGACGGCCTGAAAATAAGCTCTTTGATCGCGCTCGAAATTACAGCGGAGCACGCGTTTGTGAAATCTGCGGTTGGAAAGCTCGCCATTAAACGGCAAATTCGTGCCTTCCAGTGCCTTGCTGGTCGGTGCGATTCGCGAATTGAACGCGAATCGAACGCAAAGCTCCGCGAGGAGTCACCGGGTTGAATGCGAGTGCGCGTCGAGTCGATATTTTGAAGCAAGCTTTCGACCAATCGCACGGGACGAACAACTCGCCGATGCCGCCCCAACATGGCGTCGCGGTCTCCGTTATTCCCCTACCACGTGAGGTCTCGTTTACGCGATATTTCGCTGGTTATCGGCAGCCTTCTCTTCTTTTATCGATACGTCGGTCTCTCCATAGTCTCGCCTGTCTTTTAATATATCTGTCCTTTTTCATGTTGTAGCGTAAAACCCGTCGTGCAGAATCAAGAAATATAAATATACAGTTCGATAAAAACATTTATATACGAAGTGATCGAATGATACACGCATTCGTTGGGAACTTTGTTGAAAAACACTTTTCTGCGCTGTCGAGGGATTTACCTCGCTATATCTTTTCACGTGTTATTTGAAATTTTAATATTAAGTGAAATTCATGCAACGTCTGCTTTTTAGATTTTAACTTTAAGTTTTTTGCACTTGGAATGTACTTTAGATCTTATATAGTATTAAACTGTACATTTAACTCGTTTGCAAGACAGTTTAAACACATCTCCTTAAACACATTTTAAACAACCAGTAAAGAGATCTATCTTTAATGAATTATTCAAAAACAAATTTTTTTTTCATGAAAGTGATTAATTTAGCAATTTTAGAAAATTCGCAGCCATTATACGCAATCACTACTTCTTTTATAAAATCATTGCGTTATATAAAATTCCTACATTGCATTCTATAGAATCACTTCTGATTTTATAAAACCAGCATATTTAATCTTGTGTGTTCAGCGTAACTTGCACATCTTTGACAGTGGTCAGCGATTTCGGCATGCGGCCTTGTTCTCTTGACCTTAATTTCATGACATCGATTCTAGTCGGTGATTACCAAGTAAAACAATAGTTGCTTAACCCGCCTCGTGCGGAATGTAACGTCAGCGTAATTACATAATATTTGTCCGCCACGACCAACAATTGACTTATCACGTCTTCTTTTTCTTTCACCGATTAAATGTGTCTCGCGTGTTAAAATATTTGGATGCCCGTTCTGAGGAGCTGTGGCTTATTCACTAAATATTATCTGAAAAAACACGTATCTTAATCGATGCAGTCATACAGGTTGAATAAAATTATTTAAGCATCTAATATACGTAACAAGACGTAATGAAAAACACGTTTATGTGTTAGGCTTGTACATTATAGAAAAATGAAAGAAATAAGCAAATTAGCCAATCATAGTCGATTATTCTCTTTACGATCCAGAAATAATCGATTATGATTGGTGATTTTTTTATTGCTTAAACCTTATTACTTGTATGCTATAGCCTTTTTTGTATGCTATAGCCTTTAATCAAGATGTCTAACCCCTTGTCCACAACCGTGCTTTAATCTTTAAACCGTAAGAAATTGACCAACCACAATCGATTATTTAAAAAATAATCAACTGTGGTTGGTCAATTTCTTATGGCTTAAGAATTAAAGCAAGGTTGTGGACAAGGGATGAGTGTCGATCTACAACCTCGCTTTAAGTTTTAAGCCTTAAGCAACTGACCAACCACAGTCAATTATTCTCCTTACGTCTCAAGAATAATCGATTGTGATTGGTGGATCGATCAGTTGCTTACGACTTAAAGCTTAAAGCGAGGTTGTAGATCGACACACGGAAAAAAAAGTTTGGTTGAATTAACCAAATATCTGGTCGAATATGAACGATCTAGAAATTCCGATTGAAGTAATCCGAATTCTGCTTAAGTCAACCAAAAATCTTGTTAACTTAAACAGAATTCGGGTTACTTCAATCGGGATTTCTGGATCGTTCATATTCGACCAGATATTTGGTTAATTCAACCAAACCTTTTTTTTCGTGTACTAATATGCTTTTGAAAGTTTGTTTTATATCCATTATTACACAGAGAGAATATTATATAGTTCTTTTTTTTCCATATAAATTCTTTTCAATTTTACTATGTTTTGTAGTAGTTCTCCCCTTCTAGAATTAGATTATCAGTAAGATTTATTTTGTTAAGAAACATAGTAAATTTCACTAGAAACATAACAGATTTTGCGAGAAACATAGTAAATGTTTTAATAGCACACATTTCAGTTTTTAAAATATAAATAGCACGTATGAAATAAAAGGATAGTAAATTACTGCAGAATGTTGATCTTCGATTTCTCGGTTACAACATTTTATAATAACTTTTACTTTAAAATTCTCTCCGTGTATACTAACATCAATTAAATCATGTAGCGCACGGATTTTGTTCAACCGGAGTCGATTAATAAAGTATTCACAAAGCCTCTACCACCAAGCCCTGTGATTTGTTAATATAGGCTTATGATGTCATTAATCGACCACGGGTCGATTAAAATCCGTGCATTTGAAAACGCTATTAATTTGATTTTATTAATTGAAATTATTCAGACAAAGGTTTGAGCTTAGATCAAGGATGAAGCGACGTTGTGCTGGAAACGTGCATTAGTCGAAGGTACTCTGTTAGGGTTGTAACAAACTTAAATCCGCACTATCGAACACGACACGACGCGAGGCGACGTGACGTGAAGTTGCCGCGAGGTCGGTCGGCGCGCATCGGGTTCGCCGAGGGAGGCGGCTTGAAGTCGCGCCCGAACGCGACTCCGCCTACCTTCACGTCGCAGGAGCGCGCGCGTCACCGATCGCGCTCGCGGCACTTTAACGGCCCAGTCTCGATCTCGCCTCTCGCCTTGATTTCGTCTCCTCGCTCGTGTCCGTTTTCGCGCGCGGTCCACCCATCCGACGTCTCGTTCGCGAGTTTCGCGTTTTGCGACACGGTGAATTACAGAGTGCTCCGGCGGAGGAGAGTCTCGGTCCGCAGGATACACGACGCAGCAGGTAACGATATAGCAATGCTGATATGGCTATCTTTGTTGTCACCGGCGGGCGAAACTTGTCGATGCGACTCGATCAAAGGGTCGCGTCCTTGGCGGTAGAACAGCGCACTTCACGCGAGCATTTTCTTATCGTCGAACTGCTGATCGCAGATTCGGATTGCTTGTAAACCGGGTTACAACGATCAGCGCGTGAGAGTCGTGAATATAGCGTGAAGATAGTTCGATGATAACCTCAAGTGCTCTACGTGCAACTATAAATCGCTTGCTATTTGACAAAATTCATATCGGATTTTCTTGGTCGAGATTTTGTACGCTATACTTATACATGAAGAGAATATTATAGTTGTTTTTCCATATAAATTCGCTTCAACTTTACTATGTTTTTAATAGCCCAGAAATAGATTGTTAGTAAAGTCCATTTTGTTAAGGAACATACTATATTTTGCTGGATATATAGCAAGTGTTTTAACACAATTTCAATTCCTAAAATATAAGTAACGCATATGAGGTGAATTTCCGCAGAATGACATTTCTCGGTTACAAAGTCCGATTGTAATTCTTAGGCCGGGAGCACAGACTTGCATAACGCATAGCAATTAGATTTCTTCATTTCCCTCCTCAAGATGCAAATGAAGGACTTTGATTGGTTGATTCCCTTATATGTATGCGTTATGCATGTGTTATGCAAAAGTTTGTGCTCCCGGCCTTATTCTAAAATATTCTCTGTGTACACGCCTTGATTTTTCATGCACGCCGATACATTTCTAATTATATTTCGTACGTTTCTACGCTTTTTCTCCGAGTCAACGTTTATTTGCTACGTGTGGCTAGCATCGAAAACGATGAACACGTTATTTTGCCTGTACACAATCGGCGTCTCAAAAGGAAAATCTCTTCTTCGACAGATATACTTGAAAAGCATTTCGATGTCAGTGATCGTAAGAAACATAAAAGGACGCGATCGAATGCGTCGCACCAGCGAGCGACGGCGGACGTCGCTCTTATGAATGGGAATCCGCATTTATCGTGCCGTCAAGTAGTCAGAACGTTGAGTGGAAGAAAAAGTATCGTCGCGAAGCGTGCCGTGATTTTGTATAACAATTTGACTATCTTAAAAGAGCTTCTTTCAATGGCGCGCGCGAGAGATCGCGGCGAGTTTGTAAACTTTGGCCGGGATCTGTGCAGGACCCCGACGTGGTATTTGTTAAACAGCGAGATAAATATTTCTTCTTCTTGCTGCACCGCTGTAGATAAGCGCTTTTTCCTCATTACTAAAAGGTTGGCGCCGACGCTCGCCGCGTGCCCCGCTTTGACGATCGTGTACAGAATTGCGACAACTTCGCTCGCGCTTCTCCATATGCGTCGTAAATCCGCGAATTATTGGCCGTCTTTACACGTAAGAACGATAAATACGCATAAAAACAAGAGAGCACATAAAGTAAGACAGAGAGAAGAGAGTTCGTGCGTGAGTGAACTCTTGGAAAATCGTAAATTATACAAATGTATGCCAAGAGGTCGAAATATTCGCATGTAAGAAAAGGACGTAAAACGATAAGAAATGTAAGAGTATGTGCGGTGATTTGTGGCAAGTTTAATCGAAAGTTCAGTAGAAGTTTGTAAATAGCGCAAGTAATGAAAAATGAGCCTGGCATTTACAATTCGCACGCGCTTATATTCTGTTTATATTTAGCGAGTCAAATATAGTTCCGATAATAATTAGAAATATCTCAAGCTGTATCCAGACTGTTAGAAAGTGATAATCTCGTGTACGACAGCATGTCATAATTTACTATATAAATCGCCTCGTTTGATGCTTATTAAATTGTTTAGAAACATTGAAAATTGTATATTAAAAGGATTCAGAAACAATAAACATCGAGCTCGCGCTGATTAGTAAAATATTTTTACATCTCTTATCGTCTGTGACCATTTGCATTGCAAACAGACGATTAATTACATTAGCAACGAAAACACAAAATGTCATGTTATAAAAAAATATATAATCTAATCGGCGCAATGATTTCCTGCCAAAGAATATAAATATTTTTATGTCGATTACTGTAAGAATGATAAAACTTCATTGATGCGTAATAAAAAATTCCGCAGATACTTGAAAACGTTCGCGGAGATTGTAATTACGTTATTAACCCTACAGTAGTCGCATGGAGTCTTTAAGAGAATATTATATCCAAAATAGTCCTTTCTTATTTTTTACATGAACCCAAAAATCTAATTAAATAAAGAAAATATTCAAGTTCTCAACATAAAAGGTATAAAATAATTTTTTATATTGAGGTCTCTCAAGATCCCATGCGTCGACTTGTACTCGAAAAGTAGCGCGACGACTGTAAGATTAAGCATTATATGACAAGCAAAAATTTCTCGTTTTTGTTTCTTCTGAGGCGCCATGTGTCGTACGTGATCATATAAAAGATCTGAAGAATTTGTGAATGCAATTAACAATATCCACACAATATCGATAATGTATCGATAATGTATTCCTGTATCGACGATTTTATTATATTTTTATGTTAATTTCATATGTTATTAATTCAAAGTGATAAATTACGATCTCAAGTAGCATGTTTATCATGAGCTATCAACCAATAATCTTTACGTCGACGAAAGTGTTGAAAACGATAAAATACGATATCTATATACAATATCTATACACTGTGGTGATCCAAAAGGAAAATAGGCCCTCGAAGTGCGTTGCGGCACTTAATGCGTGTTAAAGAAGGGTCACGCGGGAAAACTCGTAAATAGTGGGTGCGCACCGATTGAGCGAGAATAGGATTTATGAGCCTCTCTGGCGAGAATCTCTGTCTCCGTGCCGGCGGAAGTCCCAATGAGTCCCTGGAGACGATTCCTTTCCTTCCATCCTTGTCATCGGCTCAGGATGCTAAGTGTTCAGCTGTTGCATACCCGTCATCCCGTTGAACTCGTCAGTCAGCGGGTAGAAACCTCGTCCCTTATCTCATCATCCCGTCCCGTGCCGCTCGTGAAAATAGAGCGCCGTGATTTGGATCTTTTGGAAAAATAGCAATCCTTCGAAACGTATAATAAACCGACAGTACACATTAGAAACTGCGATGTATTGCGAGAATATCCAAAATACTTATATCAAATTTAATTGCAGAGTAGAAAATTCTGATTGCGTTTTATAAATGCTATTATAATCGCAGTCAGCTCTCCAGATTTTACATAATCTCTCTAGATTTAACATAATTCATATCAAAGAAATCTCTGTTATATGCAGATTACGTAATACATTTGTGAGAGAAAGGGGAGGCGGTTATTATATGTGTTTAAATTAATAAAAATATATCACAGAATGATATCATAATAAATGATGTCACAGAAAATGTGCGTTTACTCTGTTGCAGATTTTCTGGCTGCGCTTACCAGACACATTCAAGATACATTCCCTAATTCTCTTTGCCAACTTCCACGCTAATGACTCACTCGAAAATGTAAAGCGATCCTCAATTCGAAGCATTTCGATTTCGAAGTGTCAGTGAAGCAAGATTTCGGATTCGAAGTGAATTTCGATTTCGAAGTGCCAGTGAAATAAGATTTCGAATATTGGAAGTCTGACGATCTCTCGAAGGACCGATATCGAGGATCCGCCAAAGTCGTCGAAGCAATCATCAAAGGCGGCACTATTGTGGAGAATTCGTCCACCGATCGGGAGGAGTTGCAGCAACATTGTCGTTGTAAATGCTGCGGTACGGACGGTCGGCGCCTTTATGAATTACACATCCGCGGACAGATCCAGGATGGTCTCGCACATCATTCCGGTTTCCGGAGTAAGGAAAACCTCATTTCGTTAAAAATTTAATCGGAAAAAGCGTATTCCCTGTTAATTGGTTCCTCGTAGAAAAATTAGCGAAATTAACGATGAGAAATATTTCTGGAAAGAATTTCTAAGAAAATTATAACTCGATTAAGAGACTTTAAACAAATACATTTCACGAAATTATGTAAAATCAATTGGTCGAGACAAAACACTATATATTCGAGGACACCAGAGTAATAGAGGATACTCGCGATGTTTTATTATATGTGACTTATATGTTAATTAGAAGGAATCACTTCTGAGGAATTGATCCTCCATATTGGTGAGACGATTCGACACACACAATCGCATTTTTAGAGGTCCACTTATTTACTTGCGGAGTTCCCCTCTTTTATAACACGGCGTAATGATCAGCTTAATGTTACATATACTCTCGTTATCTTGCAACAGAAGAGCGAAAAAGAAAGAAGTCGGAGGTCATGATCTCGAAAGTTTCATAACGGCTCACCATCTACGTCTCTGTCGAGATTTATTTCGCGACAATTTTGCACAACATCGCGAATCTCGAAATTCACTGAAATTTTGATCAAAACTTTATTGATCTGTTTTATTACAGATCTGTTTTTCTTAGCTGCACGTATTTTTGTATTTTGCGTATCGAAATTGAACGTAACCTTGTGCGTTCTAAAGAGAAGACGAGAAAGAAGATACGACTAAAAAGAGTAAAAATTTATTTATTTATTTATTTATTTATATGTCAACGAGATGTGGCAGATTCTTTCGTACAGTGAAATATATTAGTATATAGTTTTATTTCCTTCAGCTACAGCCAAGAAGGGGACTTGGTTTACATTCACAAAAAATTTATCCGATCCACATCTTATCCTATTTCTTATCTATTTTCTACATCTCTTTACTTACCCTTTCTCCTATTACCTATTCATAGCCTTTCTTTATTCTATAATCCTATTTTTCTTTATTCTATAATTCTATCTCGTTTATATTGCAGTCACATTTATATTATCTAATGCTTATCTTATTATACCTTATCATTTTACATTTTAATATTTTTATATTTTTACCTTTTCGCCATTTTACATTTTTACATTTTCGCCTTTTTATGTTTCACATTTTTATAATTTTACAATTTTTACTTTTTTTACAATTTTTTATTTTTAGTTTCCTATCTCTCTCCTTCCATACTTTCCTTAGCATCCTACCTTTATCTTCATCTAACTCATCATTCCATATTCTCTCCTTCCTTTCTTTATCTTCCTTTCCTAATTCCTCAAACCAACCTTTGACTATAATACATGTTTCCATATAATGGAGACATACAACATATATGTTCCAATACAGTGAAATATGAAGATCTGTAAAAATAAGAGACCAAATAAAACGAAGTTAAAAAACATTTGGACGAATTGTAGAAGTTCACAGTATGTCGTATAATTAAAAATGCGACAGTTAAAGTTATCACTGATTACGTGATGAAAAGTTCCTCTCGTGGAAAAAAATTAACTTGTCGCGAATTTTTTTGCAATACACATGATATTTAAATAGCTTCAAAAATTTGGGACACTTGATAAAGTACGACTTAAATAAAATTGGCTTATACGAAGATAACAAGTCAAATATATTTCTTTCCTCTCGCGGGTCGTCAATCTTGACTCGAGTGACGTAGATTGATAATCATAACATGAATGCAATATTGGAATTAGAATATTCTATCCATTATTAGGAAAGTCAGATAACACGTCCCTAACAGTAACGTGTTTCGTAAATATTAGGTTTAGAGTCTCTGTCGGAGTACATAAACAATATTGTAACAGTCACATGTGGACTTAAATCTTAACGCGTTTCAACGAAAAGTTGTTTTTATGCTACCTGATTAATAAGATAGGAATTATGTATACAGCGATCAGGAGAAATCTTCAGACAATTAACAGAAATTTTTCGACCGTTTATTCTTTTTTCTTTTGAGCATGCGATTTTTTATGTCAATTTTGAAAATACTATTAGTGGACCTTTAATGGATTCATATAATAACGTCTAATGAAGAATAGATTTTACTTCAATTGCGATACTTGCGATTTTACTTCAACTGTGATACTTGCTTAATTTCTTGCTATAAAATAGACAGGTTTTTCATATTTTATAATAATAATAACCCACACATTATATTATTTTTTCAAGAATTATCTTACTGCTGTCTACATTTGAGTTAAAAAAAAAATCTCTTATATTGCGAAAGATTAAATTGCAACGTTTTATATCCCTGGATTTTGCAATTTCCATTTTTCGCTACATATAAATATGTAAATTTGTATGCATTAATACCGATTTACTTTCTAGCTTACTTATTTATGCGACGATACGCCAAAGTTGCCTTTATATCCATCAATGCTTCCCCGATATTTGTTATAATACATTATTTGTTTTACTTAGCCAAAATCTATGAAATTCAAACCGCAGTAGATTAAAGATATTTCATTATCCAGAAATAAATATCCAGTGTTGAATGTACTGAATATAGTTGTAATGGATATAGCGATGTTACCATTTGTGGTTGTAGTTGTTGTGTAGTAATGGTTGTAGCTGTGGTTGTGATGATGATAATAATGATGGCTGTATCAGTGACTGTAACTGCAGTTGTAGTTGTACTTTAGATACATTAGGTAATCGCGTAGAGTAGTTACAATTAATTTTATAATCTAGGAGATAAATGTTACGATATGGAGGCACGGTACAAACTTTCAGCATAAAATTCCATCTCACAAAAATTGCAGACGAAAAAATTATTTGTTAGAATTCTGCGTTAGAGCGACGCGATCTTCTATGCCTACGAACTTCGTAGTAAACATTTATTTTGGTAAGGCAGTAGTAATGTTTGTCTTTTAGCACTCTTCTGCCCCGACTAAATTCATCACTTGGCGACGATAGGTGTAAAACCTAATTGTTATTGAGGAATTTCGCCAACGGCGTGACGCGTGATTTATTTTTGTTATGATAGTCGAATGGATTAAAATTGGGTTATTGAGTGCGTTTTATCGATTCAATCGACAGCGCGACGATCGACTTCGTGAATACGAGCTAAAAATCGATAATAACTCCAGTTACCGTTCATTAGCTGGCTCTTCAATCGCCAGAGCTTTAGAGTTTTCGACGAGAAGATTGAGCACGTGATAATGAACGTTAAACTTCTTCTACGCTTGACGCGAAGATGTCGTTTCGATTATGATGTAAGTCATTAAAGATTTTAAAACACTCGAGACCTTAGAACTATATTCTTTTATATATACGATATCGTTCCAAAAAAGTTAAATATTATAATGAAAGAAACAATCTTTTGACCTTATTATGTGGATATGGGTAAAGTTAAAGAGTTAAATCGTATGTTTTGATTAATTTGGAACTTACTCCTTTTTAATTAAAGTATCGAGGTGTCCGTCATTTAATCGTTATTAGCAGCTAAAGAGAGAAATAGCTCGGACATTTTCATACTTAATAAAATTTATCTAAAATAGTTATTTTATCTAAAATGATCATTTTCGATAAAAAATAATACACGAGAAATATCACGTTACATGACATCAAATTTTTATTGAAACTCTGATAAAGCTCTTTCTTTTTCTCCCTTCTACCCTTCCCTTATCATTGTTCACTCAGATTTTTTGCAACGCGTTGATGAGATCTTCATATATTCGTGGTATGTCCACAACAAACGTAAGAAGATCGCAACAAAGTAATCTCGACCGGAAACGATAAGGCTCTCGTGATTATTTCCGACGCAAATAAGTTACCGATAGGACTGTCGTAATCAACAGCGTATGCAATTAACAGTAACTACAGTTTCAACTTTCCTTTCTTCTTAGTGACACAATATGTCACGTTTTGCGTCCACGTTTTGCGTCCATGTCTTTGTTTTTCCATCACGGAAAAAAAGATCTGTTACATATGGACAACTAAACATAATTTGCTGTATTAGCCACTTTTTTTGCTGCAGGAGTCAATTTCCTTACTATGATAATAGGAAAATCTGCTCCTGCAACAAAAAAGTAGCTAAAGCAGTAAATTATGTTTAGTTACCCATCTGTAGCACATTTGCTACATTAGCTACTTTCCTTGCTGTAAGAGCAGATTTTCTTGTTATAGTAATAAGATAGGTTCCTGCAGCAAAGAAAAAGTAGCTAACACAGCGAATTATATTTAACTGTCCATATGTAGCAAATTAGTTTGCTGCTGCAGCAAATAATTTTTTTCCGTACACTATCACAGGCTTGCACTCGCGTACAAAAGTTAAATTTTCGTGTTTACATTCTTGAAGCGCAGATTTGGTATTTATTGAAGAAGAAATAAAAAGACTAACAATCAGCACTATATGGGAAGCCTTTTGCGAGACAGAAGGAAGAAATATATTTGATCCTTTTGATGATTGAATTACCAGCGTGTAGGAAACGGATTAAGCAGTGAAATGATCGTGGCGGATTTTTAGCCCCGGCACCGTAGGGTTAACGACTACATCTCCGAGAAATAATGAACTGCTTCTCGCCGAGACGTGTTTCGTTTTAATACACGTCGGGTTTCGCGACGATTCGCAATCCGGTCGTGAGAAGCGACCTAGGAGCCGTAAAACCGGATCGCAAATTAACGATCTAGCGAGACCGTAAGTTTCGGCCGGCATAATACGATGTCACAACACCGAGCCGGTGTTTGTAAGCTTCCGGCGACGGTAACATCAAACATCGCAAGCTCCAAGCCAAAAGTCTTGGTCCGCTGGCCCGCAACACTTCTCTCTCCTTCTCTCTTTCGCTCTCTGTCTTCTGCTTTACTCTCGCGCGCGCTCGGTGATTCCCCGGTTCGTTTACCTCCGTCGGAGGACTCCACGAGGAACTATGTTTTAGGGGGTATTTTAGGGTGACGTGAATTTACCTCGTCGATGCGCCATCCTTTATCAAAGATTTATGTATTATACGCGCGGCCCGCGCGTTCTCCGAGCTTGTTCGAATATCTCGCTAAGGCCCCGCGAAATCACTTCGATCTGTCTATTAAAATTTGTTTCGATATTTTTAACCAGCTGCGTCGAGCATACGTATATTATCGATAGATATTAACGTGTTTATTCCTACATGTAGTATATTAAAGTTAAATGAAATATGGAATGGAAATGACTAAACGAATATGGAATATGGAAATGAAAAACGGTATGGAATGGAAATGACTAAACGAATCTATCTGTAGAATGCAAGATATTAAAGTCTAACGGCGTTTTCAGGAGCTGCAGCAGGGAAATGGCAATCTGGGTACCACGGGACTCAGCGGCATGCAGAATTCTCCTCATCCCCTGAAGATCAAACAGGAGCCGTTTCAGCTGTCGCCGCCGTCGCCTCTACCGCCCCTTCATCAAGGTACGTTCCCTCTTCGCCATTCCCGCTACATTGCGTCTTACAAGCAGCTGATGAATATTGCGATGAGCAGAAAATATCTTCAGGAATGTCATCTCGACATTGATCCTAATTTTTCCAATACTTCGCGGTATGAAGTTGCACATTGCTATCCATCTAAATTGAGATGCTCAGCAGCGATTGAACTCTATCCTGACAGACTTACATAATTACATATCCTCAAGGCTCCCATTTTGATTAGTGACGTTAGAAGCAAGAAAGTTATCACAAGATTCTTGCGAAATATACTGAAATAAAAGAACATGTTCATACAGTGACCCTTGGCATTGATCGAGTACGTTTGTAAAAAAATTCCAAAAATTTTGTTGTTCTAACAATCAATAAATAACCGTAAAATTAATGCTCAATTAAGAATTTCGCGACGACGGACCAGGAACCTTAACCCTTTGTCTGCCTCCCTGTTTTTTGCTTATGAGGTTTGTTTCGTGGGCAGTACAGCTTTTTTCCTCATGTATGAATAAAAAAGATCGGAGCAAAAATTCTTCTCATTGCTTCTCTACTTTCTCGTTGAACATTGTTAACCTCCAATGTTTATAATCCTTTTTTTTTTAGCAAAATCCATAGCAAACAATTGAAATTTCAACTGTTCCCAGAAAGATCCACGAAGTAGACGGAGGGTTAAAACAATCAACCAATTATTACCTATGCAGACAATATAATTTTATTTGATATTAAATGGATATGTCATGACACAAAATTGATCAATCTTCTTGTGTCTATGTATTAAGCAACTATGTAAGCGTCAGGATAGGCTTTTGCTCCGAACGAGTCCCGGTATCGAACGGAACACGGTCGTCGTCACGGCGGAAGGAAGTCGAACGAGTTGTCGCTAAAGACCGCGTTCTAATAATACAAGAGCGTGCGGTCGAGAAAGAGAGAGATTAAGGAGCCGCGGGCAGTGTCGTCGTCGTCGTGCCATCGTGAGGGAGTGTCGGAGAGTCTCTCCGCGAGAAAACGACGGCGAGACGACGGCCGTGCTCGCGCTTCCTTACGAGAGAAGGAAGGAGAGAGGAGAGGAGAGTGATATACCGCGAGAGGCCTGCACGCACGAGAGGAGCCCTGATCTTTCCGCACGACGTTTAGTCACACATTCTCTCCCCTGCGATTACTACAGTCTACGCCGACGAAATCGTCGTCGTCGTGCTCAACATCGGTGGCGGCGCGCTTCTCCTAATTCCGCGGTATAGAAATATACCGTCTCTTCATCGTTTATCCCATCGTGAACCGCGAGCGCGCTGACAAAACGTATGATTCGTCGGCGCATCGACGATTTATCGGCCAGCTTGACGGTCGGAATCGCCGTGTGGTCGCGATTGAGAAATCTAATTAGCGGACTGATCTGAGGAGCGGACTGCTCTTTTGTTCTTCATTTTAGACGGGATATCGAGACGACTTCTCGGCTTGACTTCTCGTCGGTGGTCGACTATCGGGCCCGGTATACAATTGCTTAGGGAGGTTCATCTTTCCATGTGCGATCGTCGAGTCGGTCGGCAAGGAACATTACCGAAAGAACGGAGAGGGGAGAGGGGGAGAGAAAGAGAGAAAGAGACTGAGAGAGAACTAGAGCGATAAAAGAGGCAACTCCCTCCTCCTCGTCATCGTTGTCGTTATTCGGCTCGTGTTACCGGACTTTATTATTCGCTAATCGCTGAATGTCCGGATAGATAGGCCCGAGATACGGCCTCGTCGACACGGCTCCCGCTCGCCGATTAATCCCGCCGGCCTTACTTACAAAGCTGAAACTTTAGACGGATATCGATGTCCCGATGTTACGCGTAGATACGCGCGCGTATAGTCGGCGAAATAATCGCTAATAGTTCCCGACTGTAGCCTTGGTTGAGATAAGTCTATCGGAGACGAGAAGGCGCGCAGCAGCCGTTGCAAGATACCCGTTCGTCGAAGGACAGGAAATGAAGAAACTCTTGTAACTTCTTGCGATTGTGTAGATGTAGAAGTATTCCTTGGCCCTCTGATTAGATAAAGATGAGATATAATTCTTTTTTTTTCTCTTTTTTTAACATGTCCTTGCGCTTATTTCAGTGTGATTACGTCACCTAAACGACGTCTCGTTTATGTTCGTTTTGTAAAAACGTGCCGGCGATACTGACGTTGAAAATCACGAGTTTCGTCCCGCAGGACTGCCTAACGAGAACGATTATACGGCAGAGAGAGAGAGAGAGAGAGAGAGAGAGAGAGAGAGAGAGAGAGAGAGAGAGAGCCGCGAGAAAAGGCCGGGCTCGCTTGCCTGGCGGTCCAGGATGGATGCTGGACGCGACAAGAGGTAGAACTGGAGCCGTGAACAACGAGCGTCGCGTGTTTCGGGAATCAGGCTGCTTAGAGTGCTCCACGTAAGAGTTATGGCCGCTAATCCGGGAAGGCTGTGGCATGCTTTAGGGCGAGAGCTGACGTTTCGTTTAACGACGACAGCTCCTTCTTCGTGAATCCTCGTTCCTCGTGAAAGCTCCAATGGTCGCATTTAGACCAGCGCTCGAAGAGAAAGATATCAATAACTACGCTAGGCCTCGCTCTGTAATTTGTTACGAATTCGAGGGCGATTAGAACTTTTGTTTGCCAGCTTCCCGCGTATCCGCGAGACGAATCGCTCGAGCGATTGTGAATGCGCGCGAGAGACCAAAGAGCATACTTTCGCGAGAAAATCGCGTCAATATTTTAATGCGATAATACTTGACTCCATCATCAGAGGAAATTCGCGCTTCGTAGATGTGTGCGTTCTATAAAACAGAACTTACTCGATAGACCAGCTCTTGAGGTCGTTATTATTTTAAAAACCTGTAAGCAACTTCCGTCTGACGACCTACCAGTAATTTATGTTGATGCCAGGTTCGTATTTATCACAAAAAAAAAAGAAAAAAATGCTTTAAGTCTATGGGAATTGCTTTGACGCGCTCGCGAATAATTCTCCGGGTGGGCGAATTTCGCGATGTTGTAACCGATTCAGCTCCGAAGATTCGCGCCAATTGTACAAAGTATTGCCGAGCGCAATGTACGCACGCGGGGTCACGGCTCATACTCTATATGGGTACAGTTCACGCGGCTATTCGCCGCTAACACAACGATTATATGCGCAAGTTTATCGTAGCAATAAAGGCCGCGCGATAAAGTCGTACGAAATAGCTGACACGTCTAATTATAGGGTAGCCGATTATCGCTTAAACGCTGATCTAATTATTGCGCCGCCGCTACGCGCCGCGGTCTGGTTATTATGGTCCATTGTGTTCCTCCAAATGGAAAGCCAAAAGACTGTTTTTCTCGCAAAATCCGCCTGATGCATTTAAAACCATAAGAGATCTCAGATTTTCGTTATTGACTGATATATTTAACGGTAATATACAATATGTGTGTGTGTGTGTGTTTTTAGAGACTCTTGTTGTAAAATGATAAAATATACTAGTGTTCATTCACATCGTCAATCGACGATATCAATCACACAAATGCGCATCAATGTAAAATGATTCTTAGAACAGCTTTTTAACTTGTATCTAACGGACATTTGCTGGATATGTCACACAAGTTTTATCTTCACTCTTTCGTGAAAAAAGTAATTTTTAAATATTTAATCCCCTTACAATCCGGGAAACCACAATCCGGGATCACTATAGTGACGTAGCGAGAGTGTCATGTTTTATTAATCTACCCTCTCTGACATATACGAGAAAGTTCTAATTCAAAAACTGCAAAAGTCGTCTAAAAAGTCGCTGGAACTGTAAGGATCATTATCACTTTTTGAAAGAGCGAAAATTTTCTTTAGCTTATGCGCATCCGATTGGAATGTCTAATAATTAACAACGTGATGCCTATTGTCGTAATGCAGTCGGCAGCGCGCGACTTATCCGCTTCAACTTCGGCAACTTTTGCCGATTTCTTCTGTAAGGTCGCGGCGAAACGTAACACCGTCGTGATAACGTACTCGCGCCGATATTCCTTATCGGGAATAAACGATTGCTTGCAAATCATGCCCTTGTTTACTACGTTACGTCTATTTTGATGTGAATACGTGCTCGATGATTATGTCCGTGCGACTTGATTACAAAATAAATAAACAAGGTCACCGATTGCCGATGCACCGTGACACGGATCATCCGATTTTCTTTCGAGACTACGTCCGTTCGATAGTCTTCAGACGCAGGTAAATTCGTGATTTTGATAACTCGAAAGGCAAATTCTCGATTATTCTCAATTGGTCCTAGTTATGATCCAACCCATATGAAGTAAGTTTCGAGAAAAATAAAAATGAAAATTTTATATATAATTCAAAAAGTATAGGCAGCACTGAGTTCTTCGCAATCGTTCAAAAAGTCAAACATGGTCAATTTTCTCCTCTTTGAAGTTTGAACCTTTAAAAACATTCTTGAGATCTTTTTTGTTTCATGTAGAAAGACGTATGAATTGGTAAATAAAAATTCAAAAATCATAATTCTGCGGGTTGAAACTAAGGCCGATTGCAATGTCAGAATCAAGGAGATTGCGTAAGACTCGAAAGTGAAATAACATTATGCAACAAGGAAGAAGTTAAAGATCAGAGAACCCTCTCGCGACTTGAACGCGCGATACTCGAGATGACACAGAGAACTTGAGAAAAGCGTAACAGCAGCAATGGTGTGAACGATAAGAGGTCACCCGAGGTGACAAATCTTGTGATGAGGATGCCGTCGGACCTCCGGCTCGAAACTGAGCAAAGATGATTATTTAACGATCTCTTTGTATTTCGCATGCATCATGCGCTGAAACGCTCAGAGGAGCTTCTGCGTCATTATCAATCGAGAAATGTGACGGTATGCAATCGTAATGGATGATTCTTGTCGGCTCTCGCGAGCACGAAACGGTCGTCCAGTCGCGATCAAATTCCATATCAAATTCCATGATATTAACATTTGATTGGATCGACCAAATTCCTGATGAAATATGCCGAAAAATTCCGGTTA